ACACTAATAAGTAAATTCATTTACCTCTAAACTTCCTAAATTGATTCTTCCCACCTCACTTTTGTCTACATTTGTCTACATTGAACCTTTTCCACTCTAAATAAGTTCGCTGCTCTAAACAGGAGCTATCCGAGAAAAGTATAGTGGTACGATTTGTTATGCATAAATAATGATATTTTTTTTTAAAATATTTTTTTTTAAAATCGAAAACATGTAAAATCATTTGCCGTGCAAGTCTCTGATTTCTTTTGCCAATCTCACCTTTGTGTACTTATTTAAGAAAGAAACCAAAACCCCTTGGAAATACTATAAACAGGAACTCACCAAAAAAAACTTATGGTTTCTCTGAAAAGCTGTTGAAAAACGATTTATTTGAAGTATAACAACCATATTTTTTTCAAACGTACTTCCACTTCGTTTTCAATTGTTTGTCGCATAATTGAGATGACTGAGGAATGAAAAGAATACATTTTCACAAACATATGTCTTTCGCCGTTTCCTTTTCGGCTCCATTTCAAATTCGTGTTGATTTGCATTTTCGGCGAGTTGCTTTTTTATCCAACGAAAACTAAGCGGTGAACGCAGAGTTTCGTAAAAGTTTCAGCCGAAATGCGTTATTTTCAACAATCTAATACTTTCAAAGTATTTGCTTTACAATTGTTGAATGACGAACAGATTTTTTTTATACTTGAACACGAATATAATTAACGAGCTTTGCAGATTCACGTATCATGAGAATGTTTACATTGAGTTACGACTATTTACACTTTTTTAGCCATTTTTTTTTTACAATAAACCGAAAATATTCGGAATAGATTTCCTCAGTGTAATGGACAATATCACCTGCCCTCAGCGAGCAAGCAGTTAATTTAATGTCCCTCGAAAATGCATTGAAACGTTAACCATACTGCTTCATAATTTGTTCATTGAAGGAAGATATATCAGATTGGGATTTTTTTCTGGGAAATATAATTTAAGAAAGAAAATATATATTAAAATTTTTAAATTGCCATTATGAACGGATTCGATTGTTTTCCTATTTTAGGTATAGCTTTGATCTCTTTAAAAAAATTGAAATACAGTTTTGTTTTACAGATAATGAAACAACATTTTTTTCTTCAGAAAATCATTTTAAGATTTGTCTAACTCAATATAAACCTTGTCAAAATTATTTACAGAAATTTAAGAGCCAAGATTTTAAAATGATTAAACTAAAAAACTTAAACCTTAAATTGGTTAGTTTGTAGTTATCGAAGGCCCATCACTGATCAGAGGATTTAGCCTCTCAATTTCCTCAACGTAATTCCCCTGCTGCCACAGATTCATTTCTGAGATTCCAAAGAATCGATAACAGTCTTGATAATCAGGATACATATATTCCTATGTTTTTACTGCTCTCTCCATGTGCTTTATATGGCTATCACCAAAGTGAGAACCCTGAAGAAATTATTCGATTAAAAAATACCCAGATACGCCAATCAAATGAAATCAATAAAACTAGCGAGGTGAGGCCAATTCGATTAAAAGTGTTCATGTTAATCTTGATGAAATAAAATGTGTAAACCTCTGAAAAAAACTAAGCTGTACATGTTTTTACATTATAGACCTTTACACGAACATACGCTATACAAGTTGTACACATTTAAAATAATATAAAATGTTTAACTGGTTAAACTCTTTTCTATATTTCAAAGCTCTCGTTTTCAAATTTCCTAACTATTTTACTTTTAACAAGTAAATTTCTAAAAAGCATGAATTTTTCATAAAAAGTTAAAACCAGTTTTTGTCACTTTGTAACTGTGCAACAGAACAAATAAATTCGTGTTAAATGAAACATTTCATCATCAATAACAACAGAATTACTACGTGGTTAATTACAATACCTTATGCTAGGCAAAATGACAATTAATGTATCAATGACGGAATGAAATTGTTTCTCCAAAAAGCTCAACACCAATGTAAATCAAAAGGATATTAGAAGTCGTAACATCTGTAATTTTTTTCGAAAACGAAATTCACGACTAATGTCTATTTTTCTATATGTCTATATGCAAAATTTAAGTTGCACCTACAGTATAATGAATTAAAAATGTAAAATTTATTCGACCATGAAACTGGAATTGTCTTTTTACATGATTTGGTAAAAAAATTTCCAACTTAAAACAATCAAAGATTAGTTTATTCTGTTGTATGCAAAAAAATGTTTCAGTGTTTGTGTCCAAGTTTCTCGTCAGTCATCATTGAAACAAGGGATATTAGAAACCATAGCATCTGTAGGTTTATCGAGTCAACACCTTCACGTCTGCAGTCTTTAATTGAACTAAAGTATTTGAAATGCATCTGCCCTTGAAATATTTAGAAATATGTTGAAACTTTTTAAAATGTGTCTTCTCTATCAATTCTGAAATAAAACTTTTGAAAACACGACCTATTGTGATGGGCTACAATAACTAAAGCAGATATGCTGACCAAGCACCAAGCAGACATGTTGAAGAATAACGCTGAAACGAAAACACATAGAAGTATCAACATTAGGTACAATGAAAGCTGAATGGTCCAACTTGACCAGTTTTTACAGTTTAGGCACCCTTTGAGTTCAAAACAACAAAAAAATTGACTAAATTTGGAGTTTGTTTTGCAAAGACGATTTTTTGGCCACAATCAAAAATTCATAACTCCTGAACTACTGAAGTTAAATAGATGGTTTGAGGCTGGCCGGGATTAGAGTTGAGCGTGACAAATTCCATCATTGTAGTGTGCCATCAGGCTAGGTTTTTTTTCAATTCTGTAATGGAATCAAGTTCTTTTTAGTCGAAACCTGGACATGGCTCCTGTCGATTGAAAGTTGTTTGTGAGCTGTGATAATTTAACCAGGTCCATAAAAATCACAGCTCCTAGAAAAATCAGATCGAAAAAGAAATTTGAAAAGAGATCGAAAAGATCGATATTTAAGTGCGGAGCCACTATTTCAGGTGGCGTCAGTTACGTCAACAATAAAAGGAGGCGCGGATAAAGGTATCTGCGTCATGCCGACACAGTCTCTTCCAAGGAAGTTCTTTCGCAATTTTTTCTGCTGTCAAGTTATCTTGAAGCTGATTCAGCTCCCTTCAATCTTCGGAGATTTTTTCTAATACTTGGTCTCCATTGAGTCCCTCTTTATTTCGAGAGCCTTGATTTTGAGTTTGTAGCCTTGAACGGCTCCCTCCATTTGCTGAGTTTCTCTAGCCTGTTATTTACCTCAGTTTGTGAGATTCTCAGTTGCTCTCTGAGTTGTAGGCTCGTCGCCCCGAGCTTTTCTTTTATCCAAATACCTCTCCGCGTCCCTTATCTGATTCGTGAGGCTCATCAACTTCTCGCAAGCAATGGTGGTCGATTTACAATACTTGGTAGTTGTAGCTGTTCTAGATATGTACATTTTTTTAGTCATAGATATGACTTATCTAACTACACAATTAGTAAAACTGTGGAGTTTAATGTTTTTAAAGTAAAATTTTGGCCTTTCCCGCAATGGAATCCACTTCAGCTGCCAGAATGCTTTTGTCTCCGGAATCATCTGGCGAAAATTACCTGCGGCTTTTTGTGTAGGGATTATTTGATTGTTGAATTTACTGCCAAAAGTCTCTCGAACCCGCAAAAGTTGTGTCCGTGGAGTTCAGAAGCTCGAAAGCACAAATATTTGCCTAGTTATAAAACCGAGCTTGGCGTCGTGATGAAAGATTTGAGGACTAAATTTAGATTGACAAAGGGTGACACCTTGAAATGATAATGGATGCTGGTGAGCGAGGGTCATGAGACAAATGACGAACCCGGCTTATTTTCGGACTATTGGGTGTTTTTTGAATATTTAAAACAAATTATCTTCAAAATCAGTGTATATTGGCGCGACAGTCTCAGTCATTTGGTAGCAAACGGTTACACTTAAAAAGTACAAAGGATCCAGAGGATACTAATAGGCCGAAAAGATAGAGTGATCGCTCCGTCGTAAGCTCCTATGTCCACCCCTGGTAATTCGCCAGGCTTCTGCGGAAATCTGATGGAAAGTAATTGGAGCGAATATTTAGCAGATTTGGCGCAAGATCAAGTTCACGATGTACTGATCATAGTCAGCTATTGTCGGAACATAGTGTTACTTTTTCCACTTAAGATAATTTTGACTTTCTCATTGCAGCTTGAATTATTTGTGATATCAATATTAGACTGCAGATGTGTTATTTTTAGAACCAGACATTAATGATTTCTAATTCGCTTGCAGTTATAAATTGATCTCTGGCTTTTTGTTATAATTAAATGTTATTAATTGCCGTTTTTTATTGTAATTTGAGAAAACGAGTTTTTTTTTGTGCGCTTGGCGTGATCGAAATCAATTTTAAGTATAATTCATAGATCAGACGGCAATTTGAAAAAGAATCAATGAGCGCATAAATCAATCAAAACATTCAGAAAGCGAAAGCGTATCTACTTTAGTCAAAAGTATAAGAAACAACTCAGGCATGGATCTTAAGGGGATTGTGGGCCAACCTTTAAAAAAAATTTCTTTATGTTGACAAAATTGATTTTTTGAGCCCTCTCAGAAGAATTTGAAGAAACAATTTTCCAAATTTTTCTGCGATTTTTGATAGAACAGTTCTGAAAAAAAAAATCACTCCAAATTATGTGAATATTTGCGCGCAATGCGCCTGTTGTAGAAGTTTCAAAGCTGGTCGACGACAAACAGATGCCGTAAAAAGAGAAGAATCTCTCATGAACGAAGGACCGAATGCGCAAAAATTACGTCAGCCAATCAGAATTTAGTGTTCCTAAATTCGAAGGAAATAAGCTGTAAAATCAGTCATTTTTTTGAACAGTTTACATGGCGTTGATTGATTGAGAATTTTCGCGCATTCGGTCTTTCACTCATTAAAATAACCCCCCAAGCCCACCAAAAAGGGGGACTCTTTGGGTAGTCGTCTTTCGGTTCATTTTTGTCAAATGTCTCCATATCCATTCAATTGTTTTTTTTTTTCAGTTTATGTGAATATGTTCATCTACCTCTCGAAGAAGATTGCCATCCCGAGCAACATATCACTCAAGTGTATCAGCTGGAACAAGAACAAAGGGTATATTGCATGTGGAGGAAAAGATGGGTTGCTCAAGGTGCTCAAATTAGAGTCCCAGACAGGTATGAGAAAAAATGCAGGGACGGATTAAGGGGGGGGGGGGGGGGGAGTCTCCCCCTCAGGGAATCGACCCCTCACCGCACAAAGGGTCCCCCCATTTTCTATTATCTTGCGGCGTCCAATTTTGGCCAGCCCACTTTTAAAAGTTCCTAAAGGTGCCTTGGAGTGGGAACGCGCGCTGAATAAACGCGGTTTTTTGATCAAGACCTACTTAAGTAAAAGTGCCATGGAGCGTGATCAATAAGGTTCCGTATTAAAAAGCAATAGGCAGTCGTTGGTTGCAATTATATCAAAATAGCTCAAAAGTTTTCGAATTCTAATTGCTTAAATTCTGCATCGGCTGAAAAAGCAAGATCACTGCAATTCATGCAAAAATCTCTCGCTTTCAAAAACCCGCATGGCAGGTGTTAGTTTTCTCAAAATGTTTTCTAGAAGGTATAGTGACATACTTATGGTTTTACAACCATCATCATCACTCAAAAAAGTTAGACCACAAGAAATTTTTATCAAAATATAGAACATAAAACAGCAACTATAATCTGTTTAGAATAGAACTATATCCCGAACAAAATAGGATCGCTTATATTTTCAGCATGGATTGTCTGCTTCTTTACTTCTGTTTTGTTTTAGACGGGGAGGTGCGTGGTCTGGCAGCTCCTAGCAGTCTCTCCATGAACCAGACTCTGGAAGGTCATTCAGGTAAGGGGGACAACAGCAATGATTGTTACGTGTCTTTACAGTTTTCGATACTTTCATCCACATTAGGACACTAGGGAATGTAAAAACCTGGTTATCACTTACTCAGTGCTACAAGTATGGAAAAGATTTTATCTTTAATCTGTCTTCTACAATTCTTATCCTTGATTTTTTATAGTTTTGTTCTGACCAATCTCGAAGAATGTGTAAATTCTAGAATTAATTTTATCGAAGCAGTTTTTCAGGTAGAAAGTTTTGTACGCGAAGATCAAGTTTTTAGATGTGGTTTAAATAAAAAAAAACATTAAAGCAGGTTCTTTTTAGCTAGTTTTTTTCTGAACTCGAATATTGTATAGCTTAAACTTCTACATCATTCTTACTTCAAGAATTGCTAAAGGAAGTTTTTTGAAATTGTTGATTTATTCTGTATGTTTGTGTAGATGCCGTGCAGGTGGTTATGTGGAATGAACAGCATGCAAAACTGACTACGAGCGATGTCAATGGACTCATCATTGTGTGGATGCTTCATAAGGGTAACATCTTCTTATATTTCTACATAGAGTTTATTCAGTGACGTCCTTAAATGTATCTATGCTGTTAGATAATTGCACTACGCTTGAGAATCTCGGCTGAAAATGTGAAGTCTCAAACCCGTGTAGTTTTCGAGAAAATCATAATAATAACTAAATGAAAAATTATCCTAATGTTTTTCATTGATATGCTTAATGCTTAAACTCTAAGTGGGCAATCTCTGTGCTCTCTGTCTATCCACTCCAAAGTCTGGTGCTTAAAATGTTGGCATAAATTTCAAATTTCTAGTAAACTTGAATTTGATTTTTGCTGATGTTGTTTGTTGTGACTTGCGGAGAAGTAAATTCTTCTTCCTCTTCTTCAATATCATAATAATAATAAATAATAAAGGAGTAAATAATAAATGAATAATAAAAGTTAATGTTTAATACAAAAGACAATTGCCGTCACTGTTTATTTTTTTTGATTGAGTTTATTCTCTTCGCTTTTTTGGAAATTTATCCCTAGCTTCATTAATGAGCTTAAGTTAGTAGTTCGTCATATCGCCCTGTCCTTCAGCATCGTCAGTTTTTCTAGATAAAAAATCTGCTTATTTTGTGCTTCGTAAAAGAATCTGGAACTAATCTCATTAATCCTTGAAAATGAGCGCAAAGTTTGCGGCTAGTGAAAATTATGCACTTTTCTCCTGGCTCTTAAAATCAACTCAGAGTTCATTTTGTAATTTTTAGAAATCGGTTTGAAAAGAATATCAAGTTTTTAATAGAGTTTTACTGATATTCATGGCGGATAATCAACAAACCGACAACAAATCTTGAAGCCGAAATTGCATCAGACTCACTTTAATTACATCAGAATTACCTAACAATTGCATTGCACAACAACACTGACTATCTGTTGTTATGTTGCATAACAATATTAAATTTCGGCTTCTTGGAATGGTAATCCTATTTTCGGTTTCTTGGCCCTTCGGCTTGTTGGCCTACCACCGTTTATCATATAAGGAAGAATGTAATGTTGACCTTTTCTCTGTTTCACTTCAGGTTCGTGGTTTGAGGAGATGATCAACAACAGACAGAAGAGTGTAGTGAGGAGTATGTGTTGGAACAGGGCGGGGGAGTTGATCTGTATAGTGTACGAGGATGGGGGAGTGATAGTGGGCACTGTGGATGGGAACAGAGTGTGGGGCAAGGAACTCAAACAGAGTCTCACCCATGTCGAGGTGGGGAGTACTATCAGGAACAATTTTTGCCTTGTTTGAAAAGAGGAAACAGTATTCATTTGAGTAACTGCACCTATAACTCTTACTGAAACAATTTGCACGGCAGGTCTACTTCTCTCTGAAGCCAGATATTGAAACCATGGTTCCCCCATTTTACAACCCGCGTCCTTTAATCTAAGACAGTAGAAACCTTTAACACTGAACTTCATTTTAATTCCAATGATAATTAAAATTACAGAGAAACTTACATGAGAAGACACCGTCATAGTTTTGGTTATGGTTTGGATCCGAATTGCTATTTTGGTGCTCCCAATTTTTTTTCAATCCAAATGAGTGTCTTGTGCGAGCTGCAAAATTGTTTTGTTTTTGGAAGATTTACTTTGGAAATTGATAAAATTTGGTCTGATTCGAGATATGAATGAGGTGGAAAAGTCAAGACGGATATTTCAAAAATCTTTTAGTACGTGTGTGTATTTTTAGATCAGATTTTTTGGGTCTGCCTCATTGTGATTTCTTTGTGCCGATGTTTCAGTGGTCGCCAGATAGTAAGAACCTCCTGTTCGCCATGGCCAATGGAGAAGTGCACATCTATGACTCACAGGGAAACTTCATGGTAAGTCAGAGAATAATCGAATCAATTGATAGTATGTCTTGATGGTTTATCCCGGTATAATTGCGGAAGTATTGGGACTTTCTGTATTTCTTACATTGTTTCTCTCATATTACTAGCATAAAATTTTAGATGTTTGAATAAGTGAAGTAATTTTTTCTAGTTTCAAAAATTTTCATAGAGAATTTTACTGTTTCAAGAGAAATATCAACACCACGACAACCAAAAATTGAAATAGACTATTTTATTTTGGAGCTCTCGTTGAAGAGTTGGAGAATCATTTTTATTCCGAATCGGCTAGAAACTTAATAGCAATTTTCATTGCCAAATTGTTAGTACACTGGGGAGTGGGTGTAGTTACAAGATACTTTTACAGGGGGAGGGGGCAACTTTTTTCTGATTCATTATACTGTTCTAGTCCAAAGTGCAGACTGACTTCTTCTCTCCCCTGGGCAAAGTGGCAGCCCTCACCTGGTACAATGGGGGAGGGGGATCTCCAGCTGAGAATGCGAACAGTCTGGCTATATGTTACGAAAGTGGAAAGTGTCAGATCATGAAACACCATATGGATGATGGTAAGATAAGCAAACAAACAAGATGGTTAGTTAATGGTATATCAACATAATATTTCCCAATCCAAAAAAAACGACAGTACACTTTCTTTTATATCATGAAATCATATGGATGATGGTGAGTTATGTTCCAAAAACTACACGTGAATTGTTTTTTGGTTTTCTTCGGGTTGAGAAAGGCTGAGTATCTATAAAATATCCTTCTGGGTTTTAAGATGGAGGCGAGAGCCGTTTCATCATGGGTTTTCAACTACTGGCCATCAATGATGTCCAGTTAAAAAATTAAAACCAATTTTTTAACCTTTAACCAATTAAAGTATTTTTTAACCAAATCGGTTTAACCAATTTTGCGTTTGAACATTGATAAAACAAATTATAAACACTTTCTATTTCATAGTAAACGATGCAAGCTTTAAAAATATTCATGAAAAATGTATATTTTCTCCCTCCTACATTTATTTTGGTGTGAAGTTCGGCGAAGGTTTGGATTGGAGTAAATGGTCCAGTTGTAATTGGTCAAAAAGACATGTATTTAACTAAATCGGTTTAACCAATTGGTTATTGTTTAAATCAGTTTAACAAACCAAGGGGAAATGGGTAAATACTTATAATGAAATACCGAACTATGGATACTAAGAAACTCACCATTGCACCGAGAGAACATCCTTTTCAGAGGATTTGTTAACAGTAATTGTGTGATAGTATGAACTATTTTTTTTCCCAACCTAAGCCGCAAATATTAGTGTTCATTATGAAGGTGTACATTTTGATCAATAACCAACTATTAAGTACAGCCAATGCTAAGGATATTAACGCAGACTATTATATTACAAATAGCACTTTAGCTTCAAGGTAAGGCTATCTTTTTTCCAACCTAAGTCGCAAATATTAATGTTTATTTTGAAAGTGTACATTTGATCAATAACCAGCTATTAAGTACAGTCAATGCTAAGGATATTAACACAGACTATTATATTACAAATAGCACTTTAGCTTCAAGGTAAGGCTCTCTTTTTTCCAACCTAAGTCGCAAATATTAATGTTTATTTTGAAAGTGTACATTTGATCAATAACCAGCTATTAAGTACAGCCAATGCTAAGGATATTAATACAGACTATTATATTACAAATAACACTTTAGCTTCAAGGTACCATGGATCTGTAGCATAGAGGTAGGGAAGGAGACCCGCAACAAAATAATAGGGTTCGAACCTGGGCAGGGTCGGATGTTTTTATGAACTTTTTCGTATACTAGTTAAAATGCGTCCGCTCTATGAATTGAGGCATGTTAGTTGGTAAATTTCTTCTTTCTCCATTTGACTAGTACTGCTAATGCGTCATAATTGGCTTGCGTCACTTAGCAATTTTGTAGACTCATAATTGGCGTGCCTCAATTAAGAAAGTTTGTAGACTTCAAACTTTTACTCATTCAGTTTTTCCCAGTAGCGTTTTCGGTCATATTTTTGCTTGTGTATTCCAAGTGCAACTTCACCTATACAATTTTTGTCGTATAAACGTTTCCTTTGATAAATAGGCAATTTAAAAGTCGATGAACGTGGTTCAGACTTGTATAGGTCGCGATGATTTTGATTTTTTTTTTCGTTCTTTTTTTTTTCAGGAAATGTCTTATAATTTGTTGAGGCTCAAATTTTACTTTTTCACAGTTTGACTTTTGATTTTTTTTTAAGTTCAGTTAATTTCCTTTCTTGAAAGGTAGGCATACCCCACTATCGAGCAACGAAAGTGTAAAGTTCAAGAAAATTGTGATCGACTTCTAATTTCGAAAATGGAAATTAATTATCAGATTTGCCAGCAAAACATAAATATTACCTTTTGATCCAGTTTTTTGCAAATTAGGTTCAGTTGATCACAAAAGTGTCAGGCATAAATTATTCTAGGGCTTAAATTGCAAAGTTGAAATTTGTTTTTAAGGCTATAAATTACGATTCAATTTGCTTTAAGGCTGTCTATTTTTTTTGTAATTCGAAAGTTGAGATTTAAAAAAGAAATAAGGGCAATATATTTTTGTGCAGTTTTTTGCGGTTATCAACATGGTCATTCTTTTGCGGTAACATTAATAATCCTGTGTTTTGAACAACCGAATACATCACTGCTGGTTGCTTGAAAAGTTCTTTTTGCGAGAGCAAGTGTCTTGTAATCGGGAACTAGACTTTTTCCCGTAAACAATTTTTCTTGCACATCCGTAAGAAATTGAGAAGTTGCTTCATTAGTGAACCTTAGCAATTTCTAGACCTATTCCCATTTAGCCTAGAGGTAACGCGAATGCTTTTTAACTTAGAGTCTGGTGTTCGAGTCCCGGTCAGATCTCTTTTTTCAGTATGTATGAAATTGATTTTTTTTTACGGGGAAAAATTGAATTGTCGGACTTTCGTTTGTCTGCTTAGGTTTTGTCGGCATAGTTGCCATATCGGGATTTTACTGGTGCTGTTTTCATCGTATTTGCAAGTGTTTTTGCATATCCAAGTATTTTGTTAAGTTAATAACCCTTCGTTGTATATATTTTTTGGTTTTTCTTTTCTTTTTTTTATCATAAAAGCTTTATAGAGCCTAAATATATTCAGCTTATTTTTTATCGGCTTTTTTTTACTTTGTTTTGATTCGCTTCAGAGGTTGAAAAAAATGATCGATTTGTTTTTGAAAAAATCGGGTAGTTTCTGTTGCAAGGTAGTGTTGAGGTAGTTTCTTAATTGCTCTAGATTTTTTAATGAAATTAATTTCTTGTAAGATTTTTGTTTTGGGCTCGATGGGCGTCACCTGTTTTCGGCTTAGGTGCCGCACGGTGAATACTAAAACTCTATTTAAAACTGGTCGTTTTGTTTTTCGACTGTTTTCTGACTTTTTCATTTTCCAGTTTTTTTTTTCGATTTGGTTATATCCGTCTCATTTGCTAATCACTAGCTTGCAATACTCTGCTTGCATTGTATCGCAAGTGATGAGAAGCTGCGCTTCGCCTCTATGTAAAATAAAGCTAATTTGTTGTTTTTATGCTTTAGAGCCTTTCTTAGTGGACACTAACATGACCATTGTGTGTGCTGATTGGAACCACAATGGAAGTTGTCTAGCCATAGCTGGCAAACAGCCTCTTTCTGCTGTTGCTGATGGCGGAGATCAAGGAGGCAAGAAGAGTAGCTCGAACACCAATGCCATTCAGTTCTTCTCACACACTGGAGAGGCAAGACTATTTTTGAGTTTTTAATTTATAAATACTGGGGGTAATATAGAAATACAGGGGTTCGAATTTTGTACGTTTTAGTTGAATCATTATCGCTGTGAAATATCAGGTATACGAGTTCAGTATTTACCCATTCCACTAGCAAGAATGCTGGGTTTGATTTGGCCCGGAGGTAATTTTTTGGAGAAAAAATCTTGGAGAATTTCATTTGCCGGACTATTGCGTGTCGGCTTATTTTTCTTGTATTTTTTCCAGAATTCCGAATTTTCTACTGGATTAATCAGTTATTTTCTCGTGTAATTTTTAAATTTATCATCCAATTTTTTGAGTAATTTCTTTTTTGTTGTTGTTCCGGTGTTTTATACGGTTTCTTGGGTTTAACTGCTTTCAGCTTTTGTTATTACCCTTGCGAGAAGCATGGGTATAGCAATCGGGTACTAGACGTTTTTCCCGTAAGTAACTTAGTTCACAGGACTCAGCTGGACTGTTAGGAAAAAATTCACCGCTGCAAATATTTTTTTGTGCATGTTAGCATTTTAAATATCTGTCCTCTCTGAAATTTGCTTTTTATGTTGCTTCTAATTTTACAAACTCTATTTGTTAAAATTTCATTTTTTTGCATTTGTTTCTTTTACTTTTTTTACGGCTTGATAAGTTTCAACCTTTATTATATCAGCTTAGTGGTGGCCTCATTTTGCGTTGTTCGACGAGCGAAAAAAGTTTTGTGTGGGTTTGTTTTGAGGATGTTGGGACTTTTGAGGGTGAGGCTAACATTTTGTTTGTCTGTAAATTTTTTGAGTTTTTTTGACTTTCTTGCTTTCTTTAATTTTCGTTGTTTTCCCAGCCTAATAGGCTTCGGCTTATTTTATTGGTATCGGCCTCACATTTTGTCTTTTGACAGGCGAATCAAGTTTTTGTGTTTGTTTCGAGGGCGAGGGTGACTTAACAACTTTTTATAAGTCTTCAGTCTCGTGGAGTCTTTTGGGCTCAAAGGGTTTCTGCTAAAGCATTTCGGCTTTGTTACTTATTTTTTTCCGATGCTAAATTCACATTCTTTTATCTTGACATGTTTTTGTTTCAAAACTAGACTTGTTCATTTTAATAGATTTAAATTTTTTGACATATCCGATTTTTTTCGATGTATGTTTTTTTTTCGACTTAGCGGCTTTCTTGTATTGTATCGAAAGTGTTGCGAAGCTCAGCTTGGCCTTTGTGTATCAGTTTGATAATTACGTGGTTTGTTTGAAATTTGAGTGCGTTTTGGCTTTAGTTGGAGGGTGCGTAAAAGCTTGAAATTTGAAGTTTTTCATAGCTGAAAATTTTGTGTGCTTTTTTATTGGCTCAACGGTCGTCTTGTTTTGTCTGCTTAGATACCGTTTTATAAATTTTGTTCCAGTACTCATTTAACAGTGGCAATGATGTTCTTTTTTTCCTCCAAATGAATTTCGGCCAATACGAAGGTTGATGATTTTTTGATTGCCTCAGTGGTTTTTTGGCTAGCTGCGATGCTGTTTTTGCGTTGCATCGAAAGTGATTTGAAGTTTCGCTTAGCTAATATTCCAAGTAAATAGTTTGGAGTGATGGCTTTAACCTGTGGCAGGGTGTTCAATTTTTGTTACAGAGTATGGTGGATTTCATCGAGTGTCAATGATTGAAGTGAAGAAACTTGATTAGGTCATGTCTTTTTTTGAAAGTTGTTCACAACCAAATTATTGTTCTGCGAATGATTACTTTCTAAGCTTACGTCAAATTCATTTGCCAACTGATAAACAAATTTTGTTCTTCGTGTAGTACATTAAAATTTGTTAATTCGTTGATGGATGCAGTTCGTTAGGAATAGGTCTGTAAGTAAAAAACTATCAAGTTTTTCGTTTACAGTTTGCAAGCAAATGTTGGTATTGGGAGCTCATTAATGAAAGAATAAATTGATTTAAAGTCAACATTATAATGTCACTCAGCGTAGTGAATTTCTGGGGTTGAAAGTTCGAGTATATGGTCTAAAAGGAAGGCAAGTTTCAAAAGTGATTTTTTAAAATTTTAATTTCACTTCATGTTCTTTGTTGAAAGGAAGGCAAACTCCACGATTGAATAGCTAAAGTGTAAAGGCCACGAAAAACGTGATCGATTTCAGCTGCTTTCACAGTAAAATAAAAAGCTTACCCAATTAATCCAATTTTCTCAAATTGGGTTAGTTCTATCAAATAAGTCCATCACAACAGATTCTAGAAGTTCAAAAGGCTTTGAAACATGCAAGTGGAAATGGTTTGAAAAAGTCTCTTTCTCCAATACTATTTTTTCATTTTTTTTTGGATGTATAGAAGATTGGATATATAATTTGGTTATATAATGGATATATATTTTGGTTTTCTCATGTCATTTCAGCATCTGAGGAGCCTGCGAGTGCCTGGAAACAGTATCGAGTCCTGCTCCTGGGAGGGTGGGGGACTCAGAATTGCACTGGCAGTCGACTCACACATATACTTTGCAAACATCAGACCCAAATACAAGGTATGGGTTACATTCTTATATTGAGTAGAGAGTTTCTGCTGGTGTAATGGAAATGCGACCTTGAAATAAATGACCTTTTTGATGAGGTAATGGTTTATAAAATGGAAATTTTAAGCGGTTAAAATCATTTTACCTACCGCGGATATAACGTTTGCAAGCCAGAGCCATCAGATAACCCCTAGTCATTAATCTTGATGTGGCTTTGAAGAGATTTAATGTTTCATATAACGAGTGGTAAATAATCGGAACACAGAAATAATGAAAAGGATCAGCAAAAATTCGGATACTGAAATAATTTTATAAAGCAGTTGTCCATTTTCAGAAAGTTTTTATGCAAATGCTATCTTTTCAACATTAACCAGGAATTTATAACTCTTATTACAGTCAAATTTTGACGAAAATCGGATTCTTAAAATTAATTTTTTAACTTTACCGTGCTTGTTCTGTTCCAACCTTTAGCAACTCAGCAGGTGGTTTCCTTCGCTTAAGAATTTTTGTTTAATCTTTTTAAACGAATGTGTGAAACTTTATATCCCGTACTTTAAATTCAGTCAAGATCAGAAAGAATAAACAACTCCGCTCTGATTCAAATACGATCCAAATTCTCTGAAAAAAAAGGTGACTGAAATGTCTGTTTTGTGTATTAAGTGGGGATACTGCAGCAGCACAGTAGTGTATGAGTTTGCGGATGAGTCAGGCTGCACCCAAGTGGCCTTCTGGGATGTGAAGAACATGGAGTTACACAAGAAGAAACTGCCCTCATCCACACCCCTCCTACTCATAGCTGCACAAGGTAAAGGTTTCATTCCCTATTTGAAAAAATAAAAAAGACTTAAAATGTAAATCTAAAATGCCATTAAAAGTTTAAAAGTGAGAACGCGCTTCAACTTATAATTGAGTAAGAGGAATACATATAGACAACGGTCACAAATCGTATTACAAGAAGAGACTGTTTAGTAAAGCTTCACTGAGATAGTGAGAACTTTTTTCTAGTCGACATTTAATGTAATTTATTACGCATGAGGTTAGCAGGCGTTATCAAATCGGAATATAGGATTTTTTGGGTTTACAACTAGTTTTACAAAATCAGTTAAATCACTTGCCGCTATGCTGCTGTCTATGCTGATATGCTGCTGACATGCTCAATTTTACGAATTCAAATTTAACTACTGGGTGCAATGTTTGTTACTGGGAACTTTTTCAGAATGATATTTATTTTATGTCGACATTCTGGATGTCGTTCCAATTTTTGTCGGTTTACTTATTGCCGCCTGTATTAAATTTTTTAATACCTTTCCTATGCAATGGTTCAGTGGTTTTTAATAATTTCAAATTAAATCTACCGTAACGCATCTGGTGTAGAAGTAACACAAGCTTGAGACGACAAAGGCCTTGGGTTTTAACCCGGGCGGGGCCTCTTTTTTAAACAAAAGTTTGTCTGTTTTTTTTCGGACTATCGTCCGTCTGTTTAGTTTTTTCAGCTTAGATCCCGTATTACAGACTATCTTTTTCTAGATTCAGCTTTTTTTGCTCTTGTTATAAGCAAGGGTACTGTATTGCAATCGGGTACTGGACATTTTTTTCCCGTAAATAACTTTGTTCACTGGACTTTTTTTTCATCTGGACTCATTTCCTAGAAGCCTCTTAGCAAAAATATTACCGCTACTTATATGTTTTACATATTTTGTGCTTGTTGGCATTTAAGATATCTGTTCTGCTCAAAATTTTCTTTTCATGTCCTTGGTAAAGTTAATCAACTCGATTTGTTAAAACTTCATTTCTTTTTTTTTAATTGTTTCTTTTTTTTGGCTTGAGAAGTTTTGGACTAATATATATCGGCTTAGTGGCCTCATATTGTGTCGCTCGACGAGCGAAATTGTTATTTGTGTGTGTTTTGAGGGTGAAGGGCACTTAATACATTTAAAGTAGTCGTAATTGTTTTGCGTTTTTTTAAAAATTTTTTTTGCTTTTTTTACCCTTTTTTGGTCCAATAGGTTTCGTCTGCTTTTTTATCGGCTTAGTGGCCCCATAGTGTTTTTTTTTGACGTGAGAAAAAAGTTTTTGCGTGCTTGTGCGTTGAGGGTGGAGAGCCTTAAAAAATTTTAATAATTTTTTTTTTTCAGTTTTTTAGGGTCCGCTTGGTTATCTTTCTTTAGATGCTAATTTTACATTTTATTATCTCGGCATGTTTTTTGTTTCAAAACTGGCCTGATTCATTTTGATAGATCTAGTTTCTTTGGTATTTTCGATTTTTTTTCGGCTTTCATGTTTTGTATCTCAAGTGGTGCGAAACACAGCTCAGCTTCGCCTGTGTGTCAATTTTTTCTTGAACTGAAGCGTGTGGATTTTCAGATGATCTTGTTTCCGATATTCTTGCTTGCTCGTTTCATGTTTCAGAAATAAAAGATGTAAAGCGAAACGTGAGAATAGTAAGAGTAATAAACGTAGTGAAGACTTATATAGGTCTTGCTGATTTTTTTTTTGTTCTTTTCAGGAAAAAATTTAAAATTATTGATGCACTGAGGTATAATGCACTTTTTGAGTTCATTTGAAGTTAATCTGCTGAAAATGACGTAAATAGCACTCTCCAAACACGAACGTGGAATTGGCTCGAAAAAACCTGAACAATTTCTAGTTTCGAAAGTGGAATTTTTTTCTAAGATTTCCCAGCGGAAAAAAAACTTCACCTATTGATTCAATTTTTTCAAGTTGGGTTCATGTTATGAAGAAAGCGCTCATCACAAATTTTTTCTAGAAATTCAAATAGCTTAAAGGGCATCTATTTTTTTCTTTGAAATTCGAAAGTTGAGATTTTTTCAAGAAAGTCAGTGTTTTTTTTTAATGTTTACTTTCGTTCATTACTCTTTTGCAATCTTCGGTTGGCTATATTTATTATTAAATCAGTTGATTGGGTAAAGTTTTTCTAAATGTCTTTGGAGCTGAATTTCAGGGTGACAAAAAAATCCAATTTTAGAACAAATTCTTTCAAAAAGTTGTATTATATTATACTATCTTTTATACTTAGCTTAGCCATATTAATGCTATTAACAAGCTACTGTTTTCTTCATTGTACTGTGGCTCATAGCTGCGCAAGGTTTGTTGAGCTGCTTAGATTCGATAATTTTAATCCAGATAAAATTCAGGAGATAGAAAAGAATCAATTCGAATTTTTTTTAAAGAGTATTGAACGTAGTGAAGACTCTTATATAGTTCTTCCTGATTTTTTGATTTTTCGCGGTTTGAATTCTGATTTCTTTTTAAGTTCAGTTCATTTCTATTCATAAAAGGAAGGCAAACTCAACTATCGAACAGCAAGTTTGTAAATGTCACGAAAAACGTGGTTGACTTCTAATTTTGAAAATGGAAATTAATAATCAGATTTCCCAGCGAAATAAAAGTTATACCTATTGATCCAGTTTTTTTTGCGGAACTTTTAACAACATAATTAATGTCGGCGTAATACCTGTTCCGTTATGCATGCTATTTTTGTAAGCATGACCTCTGAAAAATTAAGTGTCAATGAACGACACTTAATTAGGTCACGTGTTTTTTCGTTCTTCTTTCGGGATGTTTTGAACTTTGCTCACGCTCATTTTTGATTTTTCGCAGTTTGACTTTGAGATATAATTCAAATTCGTTTGCTAAAATGAAGGCAAAATTTGCTCTTTTAGTCTATTTTCGAGCGAGTAATCCGAGTGAGTTACGTTTTAAAAGGAAAGTGTTTTTAAAACCGCTTAAACTTAGACATACAAGTGAAAACAAGTTTTTGTAGCTTCAATTAGCGGTTCCTTATCAATAAAATTTTTGTTAATTAATCCGTCAAAAATTAGAAACGCGCCACTCACAATAAAGGACAAACTTGAAAAAATGTATTTATATATTTTATGAATGTTGTCGGAATTTTTTCGGCTAATTGCATAGCAAGCGGCTATCTGTGTTTTCATTGGATCTGTTTTATTACACAAGCAAAGCTTGTGTGATAGTATGAACTCTATTTTTTTCCAACCTAAGTCGCAAATATTGTTGCGACAAAATGTGTTCATTTTGATCAATAACCAGCTCTATAAAGTTCCGCCAATGCTAAGGTTATTAACACAGACTATTATATTACAAATAGCACTTTAGCTTTAAGGTATCATAGATCTGTAGCTTAGAGGTAGGGAAGGAGACCCGCTACAAAATAAGAGGGATCGAACCTGGGCAGGTTCGGATGTTTTTAATGAACTTTTTCGTATTCTAGTTAAAATGCGTCCGATCCATAAATTGAGGCACGTTAGTTGGTAATTTTTTTTTCAAATTGACTAGTACTGCTAATGCGTCATAATTGGCTTGCGTCACTTAGCAATTTTGTAGACTCATTATTGGCGTGCGTCAATTAAGAAATTTTGTGTACTCCAAAGTTTTACTCATTCAATTTTTCCCAGTAGCGTTTGGTCATATTTTTACTGGTGTATGCGAAGTGCAACTTCACCTCTGTAGAAAATTGTCAATTATATACGTTGAAAGGAAAGATCCTTATAGTGATGTAATTTGTTCTATGAAACCGCGAAGTAAAAATCAAGCCGTTTTTGGTGTCTTTCAGTTTATGAAGAGTCGATGAACGTTGTTCAGACTATTATATAGGTCCCGATGATTTTTTTTTCAAGTCTAACATCTAATTTGTTTGTAGGCGAGTACTGTTGCATGGCGTTGAAAGTGGAGACAGGAACAGGAGGCAGCAGTAGCGCCACCATCCACCATGACTCAGCCAGAAGAGACGAGTACCAACTGGTGCTCTATAACTCAATTGGCACTCCACTCGAACAGAAGACTATCTACTTTGGTAAGAAAAAACTGTTGACCGCATGCGCAATCTGAAATCTAAAAAAAGGCTTTTTTTCTTCAAAAAAGCTATTTTATTTAAAGCAACTAAAAGGATTTTTGTGGATTGTTTTTAAATTTGATTTTATCTCGTTTAATTTGATAGGGTTGGATTGCGTGATCTGGAATAAATAGAAAGCGGGATAATACAGTAGCAAGGTTTTTAGAGCAACAAAAATTGAAGAGCAAAAAAAGAGCAATAAAAATTCAGACTTCTTTTTTGTATTGACTTTTTGGTTTGTTTTTATCTCATTTTAATAGATAGATTTAGCTTACAGTCCACCAACTGGTCTCGAAACCCTTTTCTTTAAATTGGTAGGGCTAATGTTTTTTCTTGGTTTCTTTCTTTTGACTTAAGTTGATCAAATTTTCTTTGAGGTTTTGTTTTCATTGTTTCTTTAGAACCCACCCTCCTGTGTATGACTGGTAGTCTGGTGATCGCGGCTAACAAGGACGTGTTTTACGCGTGGCAGTTCACTGACCCGATTAAACTCATGTCTGCCGATGTGTCCCTACAAGCCAGCAAACACAACCTCAAGGAGTGGTAAGTCGTGTATAAAGTTCAGTAATTTTTTATGACAGAAAACAATTTTTTTTAAAGAGAAGGCCATGGTATCAGTGCTGCAAGAGCCAAATCAGTGCGAATCGTGATCTGGCAGTGCCAGCAAATGAATTTAGTGCCAGTTTTTTTCACAGTGCTTTACTAAATTGTTCAAAATCAAAAATCTAAACATGCTTACACAGTATGTTTTTTTTTCAGGTAGTATGAGCAGCTCAGAGAAAAAAAAAGTTGGGCCAATGAGTTGGACAATGAAAAAAAGGCTAATTTTTCAAAAAAAACTCTCAGTGCCTGGTATTTCACAATTTTTTTTGTTGTATCCGAGTTTCATATACAGGCCACGAAGACTAAGATTAAGATTAAAACCATTTATCCACAGGGGAAAGGACCAACACAAGAGCTGTACAGCTCATCACGGCGAACCGCTGTTGTGTCCCTGTTTAAGAACTACATGCAATTTTTTTTTTGGTTATTTTTCTGGACTGGGTAATGTTGCTTCACCCTCAAGCAACGAGCACGGATCATGGTGGGCCTCGAACTTCCGACCTTTCGATTGAGAGGGGGAGTCGTAAGCACTTCACCACCGCTTATTTTCATCAGTGCGAGTATCAGTGCAGTCAGTTCCTGCAATTTTTTATACAACTAGGATAAAAAAGATCCTGTTAAAGATCCTTGTTTTCCCGATATTTTTGAAGACGGTCTGTGTTTTTCAACCAATAAGTGGTCACCCTGTCAGAAGGACATCATCATGACAGTAGTCGAGATGAATAACTGTGGATATTTTGTCTTTTCTTGGAAGTTTATTTGACGATTTGTAGTTTTGCTCTGTTGTTTTTAACTCTGAGTTTAATCACAAATCAGATCTCATGCTTGAAATTTGAAAGGGATTTAATTTTTTTAGGTTGATCCACATTGACAACACGATGAGTGATACTAAACAATCGACCTCCTCAATTCAAAATGTGATGGTCACCTTTGACTCGTGGGCCAAAGCAGACAGAGAATCAATTGACCCAATCTGTGCTATTACTGCCTCACAGGTGTGGTTTTGAAACACATAGCGTTAGTTTTGATGAGTAGCTAAAGTATCCGCCTCCAAGTCGAATGGTTTGTGGTTCGAGACCCGCCATGATTGTCGCTGATTGCTTGCTAGGGTGACACAACATAACATAACATAGAAAAAATCGGCGAAAAAACATGTTTTCTTAATCAATGGAACAAGGATCGGTTCTCCGTCAAACGTTGAACATCTCACATATGTTGGTGAATTTTGTTGTAAATGAATCTGAATTAATTGTTCCTGCTTCCCTCGCTTCCTCTACAAAAGAGAAATGGTTGCCTTTTGAAACGTTATAATTTGAAGTACTTGTTCTTGATGTAATTTTGTGTTTGACGTAAAACTGAATCGAAATCAGATGCCTAGAGTTTCTCATAGAGACAAAATCTTGGTCACAATCTTTAGATTGAGTTTTAGCGGTAGCCATTTATATACTTTTTTCTGCAGCGTCGTTTGGCTGATGTACCCTGACAAACTACCCCGCCAAATCGGATATAAAGTGTCCAATCGAAAGAATGAGCGCTTGGTCGAAAGATTTAGGATTTGATCAGAAGATGCGCCAGGAAGTTTTTTCTGCATCGAGGAGTGCGCTTATTGTTCCCATTTTAGGTTAGGAATCTGCAATGGAGTTGGAACATATTTCGATACATTTTGAAAATTACATATTACTTTTAGCATCAGAACATTTTTTGAAATTTTATCCAACATATGCCTCCAGCTTTAGCTGGGCCCTTAATTTTAAGCTCGAGAGCGGAAGGAGATATCAGATCATTCCTGAATTTTTCCCGAAAAAAACTGATAAAACTAACAAAAAGTCAGGAATGATCCGATAGCATCCGTTTTTTCCTCTTTGTGACCAGTTTAGAGCTACTTTTTGGCCATTTCTCAGTTTTGTTTGCGAAGTGCAGCTTCCCCTCTGTGTTGGATCTCTTTAATTGTCCCGCCTATTGTAACAGTGGGAGATTCGTAACTAGATACAAAAATCACATATGCTAAACGTGAATTATTTCTTTATAGCGGTGGTAATTCTGTACTAGGTACTATAGGTGCATAGTCGAAGAGATTCTTTTAATTGGCTACTTTAGACTGTGCTGTTGGTTGCAAGAACATCCGGGACGATCAACTGTTACGCTCTGCCGAAGATGGTGTTCAACAACAAAATACAGACGGATATCAGAGCATACAACCTCTATATCAACTGCAATTCTTCGTAAGTATTAATACGAAGCAAAGTTATGTTGCAGTTGAAGAGTAAAGGAATTACAGATAATAGTTGAAATATAATTTTTGTAAGTTAACAGATTTGATAAAGAAAACGGGCGCTCGCATACATTTTTTGATATATCTTCAGTTCTTTATACAGTATTGGTTTCAATAACCCGGACAAAATTATTTTAAAAGAGAACTTGTACAGTCTTTCTCCAATTGCATTGACTTTCGATATCAAGTTATGAAAGCATAAGGTACTTTGTTTTGTCAGAATTAATATGATGCAATATTTTCGAAAAATTCGGGCCAAAATCTCTTACCCTTGGTAAGATTGGGCCCTTCTGTAAATTGTTCCCGGTTTAAATTGCCCAAAAGTTTTCTTGAATATTGTAAATTTTGGTTTATTGTTTAAATTAATCATCAATGTACGTAGTGAAGACGCTAATATAGGTCTTGAGCGTCAACTAATTTTAAGACAAAAAAAAATAATTTTTGCGGTTTGAATTATGATTTTTGGCAACTTCAGTTCAATTCCTTTTCTAAAAGGAAGACAAACTCCACTCCACTATCCAGCAGCAAAAGCTTTAAGGCCATGAAAAGTTCCGAAAGTTGATTTTGATTTTTATATTTCCCAACGGAACAAAAACATCCTATTGATCCCAATTAGCTCAAATTACTTTAAATTTATTGAAAACTGATCGTTGAAAGTTGAAAGATTCTTGAAAGCTTTGACGTGATAAGTTTGTTCTCGGTAATTTGAAATTTGAGAAGTAAGTCCATCTTTTTTAGTTTCCTTGAATAGAAATTTTTGCTGACTGTTGATTGTTCCTATGTCAGTATCTTTTCCAATATTAATTGAGCAAAGCCATTTCTGAATTCTCGAGTTGTTTGATTAGAGTTCGGGATGGAGATAGGCCTCTCGAGGATTCGATCACCTGACAAAGTACCCCTTGGTATTATTTTTCGAAATCTAGCCAGGCAATCAACCTGAATTTTGTCCTGAAGGTTTCAGATTTTGTGTACACTAAATTTTAGGTGTCAAGCCATTAAAGAACGAGTATTTTTTGGCTAAAACTATTCTAAAAAGCATGGATGGATTATTTTTAATGTTTCTTTCAAAAACTTGCCTGTGATGGCGCGAAAAATTTGTGTTTTTTCAACTTCGTGTTTTAGGGAAAATGAGAGAACAATTTAGTCGACGTGAAAGAAAGTAGTCGGTTTAAATTTTTGCTATTTCGTTTGCTCAAGAAAATCCTAGATCTCCGCTTGATTACGGTAAATTTCAACATTGTACTCGTGACCTTGAAAAAAGGCATTCTTTTTGATGTCTCAAGGTTTTTGAAGCGATAATAAAAATCAAGGAAATTCCGTGGCTCATATAACCAATAGTTACCAGGATTTCAATAATTGTCTTAAAATAATTCACTGCCGAGCATCTAAGTTAACGATAATTTCATTTTGAAACGAATCTGAATTTTTGTTTTTGTGTTGTTTGACTTGTAAAAAAACCGTTAATTGCACTGTTTCAGGCGTTGCTGTGTGCTGGACATTTCTGGCGTCTTGACAATGTGGGATATCGTAAGTTCTAACCTTGAGAATAACTCATTCATGACAAACTTTTATTTGCACGACCTCGTAGAAGGCAGTGCTGTCACCTTTTTTGGAGACATTTTTGTCCGGTACCTGTCTCAAACTGTGCTCTTTTCAAGGTCAACGATGTCGATTCAGACAATAACTAATTAATTTAATTAGTTTTCAAGTCTAAGAGGTCATCGGTTTCTATTTGTTCATTTGCAGCCTTGTGTTCGTAACGTGATTTTTCATCCTTTTGTTAAATTGACAGTTTGTTGATGAAGTGATAAGAAAATTTTTTGCTTTCGGTCATGTTTTTAGTCACTTATTATCGAATCTTAACCTTTTTATTATCAAGTTATACTGTCTTATTCTTACCAATTGTTAGTGCTTTTGAATGCCCCTCTTTCTGGGCTCAATTACCAAACAAGAATGTTTGCTATATCGTGTTATCATCATCATGGCCCGAAAGTTACGATACATCGCTAGGATATTGCCAGTCGTATTCGACATCCGTTCTCGTTGGGAGTTTACTGGATGTGGACGTTGATTTGAACTTCAATGATCTGGAACTGCCATTGGATGATTCAAATTACTGGCTCAGTGCGAGAAAGTTTCAGAAGAAATACCACAATCTGAAGTCAGGAAGTCTGGTCGACGAATCCAAAATAGTAAGTGCGAGGTTTTAAGCTATATGAAAAGTTCCACAAAGGAGATTACCTTAGGACATAAGTTGAATGATCGGAACATTACTTATTTGAAGAAGGATTAAATTCCTATAAAGGGGATTAGAGCTGAGTTTTGAGCAGAGTGTTTAATTTCAGGAACCAGGGCAAGGCAATTGTTTAATCCTCAATCACTTCGTCGAGGACAATAATCAAGAGTTCAAACTCTACCCGAGTGATTGTGGAAAATATCAACGTCCCTTCATCTGTGCTCTGTACAGTTCCGAAGACGTAATTAGTGATGAAGATAGGAATGACATCATCGGACCAATTGATGTTTTGAGGCATCGTGAAGTGAGTTTCAAGCGAAGTCAGAAGACTTGTACGGATCTAGAAGATGAATTGCAAGAATGCAACACTCTAACGGACGAAGATTGCTCTGAAGCAACGATTGGATGTGAAAGAACGTGTTGCGAAAAGCTGGGTTTGAACTGTAGGACTTCAATCGATTTGACATCTGTTGAAAAGTGTGAAAAAAAGAAAATCATGGGGTTGTGCAATGTCGTGCAAGACGAATGTGCGTTCACTTGTTGTGGAATTAGTGATGTTCCTGCAAAATTACAGATCGAAGAGTTGAACGAAATTGAAGACGATGATTACGAAATTGAAGACGATGATTATGGCGATGATACCAATGATGATATGGGCATTTGTGAGGATCTTGAAGACTTGGAACCTTCAATTGAATGTTTTCACCGGGCCTTTAAACGCCGGAATTGCAGGTCAGATTTCTGGACTGACGCTTGTGCGTTTTCGTGTTGTGTTGCGGAGGTCGACGATGACAATGAAGAGGACGATTTGAATTTTATTGGCGAGGTTAGAGCATTAAAAGAAAAAAGTTCTGATAAATCAACTTCAACTACAGAAAATGCGTGCTTAGAATTTGAAGATAAGGATTCCAATAAATGTGTGCGACAATATCTGAAAGACACCTCTAAATGCGATGACGAAGAGTTTAGTGAAAATTGTGCTTATACATGTTGTATCGTGGATCCGTCGCCATGCTTGGAACTTGAAGACGAGGCAGGGTATCATTTCTGTCACAAGAAGGTACTGAGCGACGAATGCCAGAAACCCGGGATCTATAGTAAGTGCCAATTTTCTTGTTGCGAGTACCACGGAGTCCAATCAAGTACGACTGAAGAGTCAGCAGCAACGACTACTGAGGTTACGGAAGAATCAGAAGAGACTACAACTGGGACATCAACCGAGGAGCCAGATTTCGAGCTGTGTGGAGAGTTTTCTGATGAAAACACAGCGGAAAGATGTACTCGACGTGTGAATAGAGGAAACTGCGAGGAGTCGCTGGAAGATGAGAATAAATGTCAGTACTCATGTTGTATGGAACTGTTCAAGACTTCCTCAACGTCGGCCTCCAGCTCCTCGGAGGCTCCAACCACTGCTCCGGATGACGGAGGATTGTCAGAATGTCAACACTTGTCGGACATTGGATCACCTTCAGGTGGTAACAGTGTCAGTTTCTGTGCCGCGGTGATTGATGAAGGTGGGTGCGACAAATTCGAGAAAAGGAAGTGCTGCGAGTTCACGTGTTGTGCCAATGATTACGTGCGCGATAAAGAATCGGGGGAGGGCAATGACCCGGAAAATGAAAAGTGTGACGAAGATGTTAATCCGGATACGAAATCATACCCCGAGTGCCTGGAAATGTACACACGCGGGTTATGCGATAGTGACGACTCTTTTGGTTGCGATACTACTTGTTGTTTATGGAGGGATAGTTTCAAGGGTTCAGAGTGTATGATGTTCGAAAATTTACTAAGTGCTGAAACATGCGCGCTTCAATGCCCCGGTTGCTTTGTAGATATCCTTGACTTCTTATCCATGTGTTCTATCTTCTGTGAAAGAAGATTCTGCTACACTTGTAAGGGACCCGACAGGTGGGACCCCAATGAGGATAATGAGTGTAGTACATTATCTAATGAAGACTCAAGCAGCGAATGCCTTGAACATCGATTAAACGAAGGTTGTGAACAAAAAGAGAATGATGGTTCCGGTTTTTACGACACAAAATGCAATCTGGAATGCTGCGTAAGGTACAGCGGAACAATTTCGACCAAACGAACAGTCAATTTAACCCAATTATTACTGAAGACGAAACAGGACAAGTCTGCAGATGAACTTTCGGAGTCAACTAGTCGACATATTCGAGATGTTGAACCTCGCTCGAAAGATGAATATCAAACGTTAAATGCAATAGTTGATGATAATAAACAGTCCGAGTCAAATCATGCCTCCAGTGAACCATGTTTTGACATGGAGAAGTTGCAGTTTGACCCCGACTGCGAATCTAGAAGAGCAAGAAGGTCACCGATTTACAATCATGCTGGTGGATTTATAGGAAAGTTTACCGAGCATAATTTAACGGATAGATATGGGTCTGAAAACAACATGGCAGTGGTGAATTCGAATGTTACTGTAGAGAGGAACCGCACAGATTCTACCTCGTTGAATGCCACCGAAGACCGAAATGCAAGTGAGCCTACTTTGAATGGCACTGAAGACCGAAACGCCAGTGAGCCTAAAACGTACAAGGTCGCACCTCGAGCGCAAAATCTCATGCAGGCCATGGGGACTGAGTTCCAGTTGGAACCCTCAATGTTTTTTATTTGCGTTTTAGTTGTGATCAAAATTTGCTTGTATTGAAATTGTAAACTTGTGACGCTACTTCAGTTAGATTCTGTAACGAATTAATTAACAAAGATATGAATTAACTAATTACTGCGCGAATCAAATTTTGAATAGAAGGCTACTGATAATTTATAATAAGTGATCTAGAACTACTTTTCTATTCACTGTTTTTCACTGTTTTCATTAAAATGATGGTATTAAACGCAACTAGTGCTGTGTCACTGGTTTTTTCCTAAATGCGGAAATTTGAAATAAATAGCAAAACGGTAGCCTACTTTTAGAGATCAAAGTAAAATAGATTTTTTCACGAAACCAGCTAGAAAAGAAACAAAACAGCGGAGATTCCAAGTTGCAATTGCTTCAATGTCGATGCCTGAATTCAAAATTCAGTTTACTGCAATATAATTGACGCAGAGAGAATTTGTAACCACAGCAGCCCTTTTTAAAGACTTCTGTTCCGACCTCCGTAACGGAATATTTCTGCCCGGGGTGCTCGTTTTGTTTTCTTCAGACAAATTTCCGACCTAACTAGCCATTTTTGATTCGAAATGTATTGTTGTCCTGAGCTTAAAGTTATTCCACCTGTGATCATCTTTTTGGTAAAGTTATGGGGGTTAAAATATTGACATTTTTGCCAATTTGAGACAATTAACGCGCGAATGTTTCACGCTCGTAACGCGTAAGCGGGGATTTAATCCGTCTTGTCCGTCTAATCCGAAATTGTCATTGTTCCAAATAAGTTGAAGGAAGATTATTTGCCCAATTGATATGTTGCTACGAGCGAAATTTATCACTTTGTATTTTATATGGCGTGTGGGTGGATGCTTTTTTAAGTATCTTACACATTTATTGTTTTCATGCTAATAATGCTCCATATACCTTCAGCAGGGCAGCCGGAATATTCTGGGATTTGCCCTGATACGAGCAGTCTTGTTTATTTGGAACAAGCAAAATCAATTTGTATAGATGACCCGATAATCTCATGTTCGTCTTTTTTGATAATTTGAATTTTGATAACTGAAACTAAGACTTAAAATCGCTGTTACACAAAACAGCTCTTATCAGAGCGGAGCTTGGATTCCCGTGAACATCGGCTAAATGCTACAAAATTTTCAATTAACTAACTTTTAATTGATTTCAATAAAGGAACTTATTTTTAATTGATATGGCATCAGGACGGATTCAGATCGCTGTGGTGATCAACTTAGCAATCGCCCTCACTATGGTATCTACTTGCGAATTTCCACCCCTACTAATAAAAGCAGTAATTAGCACTAGACCTATTTAAAGCTCGAATTTTGCTGCAATCTGCTTGGTCGAAAATGCGTTGTTTTAATCTACTTAACAATTGTTAAATAGATCCGGCTGTGACTCGACCACCCTCCCCCACCCTGGAACTCGACCCATTGCCAACCAATGTGTCGTTTTTGTTTGCAAGTTTTCAACCATACACCTATTGGAGCATACTTGTAATTAGCAAACCTATAGTTAAGTGATGCCAGGGTGTTACCAGGGGCTACAAATCTATTATCATAATTTGACTGCTCTTATCTTTATAGCTTACTAAATTTTGATGCTCTTTTGTGTGATTTTTTGTCTTCAAATTTTGCGAAAAAAAATATATTAATGGAAATTATCAACCCTCTGTGGTGGGAGTGATTTCAGGATAATCTCAGAAGTTGCTGATTTGACCTTCAAATATGACTTTTGAAATTGTTATGGTTTCTGAGATGTGACTTTTTCAATGAATTTTCAAGTTTTTTTTTCCAAACAATAAAAATACTTCACAAAATCAGAAATTTTTAAAGTTGTGGTGAATTGCCCTCCGCGTACTCTCTGGTGATGCTACTCTGGTACCCAATTATGACAGCTGAAATCCTGCTAGCATAATAGATATGGCGGTTTTTGTGATTTTTCATATTTTTTTCTCTTCACATTGGTGGGTTGATGTCAGGGTATCCTCATGGTTTGCAAACATAGCCTCTAAGTTTGCTTATGATTATGATATGGACGAAATAACCAGAATCTCTTTTAGGAAAATCATGATATTAGGAAAAACTATTCATTTTTGAACTTTTTTTAACAAAAAAAAAACAGTTAAATTCAATAATCTATGGAAGCTTCGTAGGTGCGAGTCATCTTCTTGTTTTGAATTAATACAGATTATGTATACCCTATCCTTTTGGTAGAATTGAATTGTTTTGTCATTACTCAAGCAACGCTTGTGTTATTGTTTTTGTCTTCTTTCCCGATGTCATTCGCGTGTTTCTGTGTTCAACTCATTTTTGTTCCGACCATTGAAAGTGAGGAGGAACTTTCGATTCGGGTGTGTTTTAGGTTTTTTTGTTTTCCACGTAAAATCAGCTACCACAAAAAATAATCGGACAGGGCTGAGTGATATATCATATTAATGCCCTTTCAGTCGTGATTCGAACCACATTAAAAAAAGGTTTCAAAAAGTTTTCCCAGCATCGAGAAAAATCGGTTTGATTTTTGCTTTTTTGCCTTAATTCCAGCGAATAAAGAGCGAAAAAAAGTAAACTAATTTGAAAAAAAAAATTTCTTAACCGTTGTTTGGTTGGAACATTGTGCTACTTGCAGTGACCGGCTATCCTTGTTGAGTTTTGGCTTCAGTATGCATGTTAAATCATTTGTCTATTTTGAGTCTATGAGTTATATCCGTTTAATTGAAAGACATTCAATGCTGCTTGTGTTTGAGGTATATTGAGGTGTTGTGACTGAGTGATTGTTGCTGGATCGGTTAAGGATCTAACTTTCAATCTGCATCTACCTGGTTTCTATTCCGCAGTCCACGATTCCCTCATTTTTTTGTACCTTGAAATCTTCATAGAGGTGTCCCTCGAAATTCACGCTAATTTCTTTTATGAGGTTTGAAGTTCGTTTTTTAAATGATTCACGTCAAATTCAATTGCCCAATGGAAGACAAGTTACGCTTTCCAATTGCAGATAGTTTTTAATTTTAGAAAGAACATAACATTTTCTTATAGGTTTCCCAGTAGAATGAGTTGAGTGATATATCATAAAACCTTTTCTGTCGTGATTCGAACGACATTAAAAAATTGCAAAAAGTTTTCCAGTGTTGAGAACTCATTTGAAATTTTTGGTTTATTTTGAGTCAATAAGGTGAGCGGGCAGGCTTATTTTGTTTTTCCTCAAAAAGGATTTACAGCAAAAAATAATCGTAATGGGTGGAGTGATATGTCATGTTAAAGCCCTTTCAGCCTTGATTCGAACGACGTTGAAGTTTTTCCAAAAGTTTTCCCAGTGTCGAGAAAAACCTGTTTGAAATTTATGAGTTTTAGCCTAACTTCGAGCAAATAAATCAAGTGAGCAGACTTATTATAGAAGGATAATAAAGGGTATTGCAATCGTGTACTTGAATTATCCCCGTAAATAACTTTATTCACAGAACGGTTTAGTTTAGAAATGGTAAATTTAGGTTCAGTTGATATTGAATTCAATTTTTTTCAGCGTCTTCCTCACACTTGGTCTGTAGGTTACGAATGCGCCTGGGACAGCCAAGGTCCTGGTTTCGAATCTGACTGGACCAGCTCTGATTATGTTTTGTCGGTTTAGTTGCCATATTGTAGAATTGTTTTTTTTCTAGTTTTTTCTCCATCATAATTGCTTTAAGTGTTTTCATTCGTATCTGCTGTTTGTAATTTTTTTAAACTTTGAATTCGTATATTTTTTTTGTTGTTGTTTTTCGCTGAGAAAAAAACTGTTCGTAAATTTTTTTGATTTTTTTCGGCTTTTTTTAATTTCCTTTTCTTGGACTCAATAGGTTTTGGCCTATAATATATCGGCATAGTGGCCTCATATTGTTTCATTTGACGTGCAAATGAAGTTTGTTGAGTGTTTCTGTTTTTGAGGGGTGCGGGGGACTCATTAACTTTTCCTAATCTTAAGTCTTATTGATTTTTTTCGACTTAAAGGAGTTATGACAAGGTTTTTCGGCTTGGTTACCACTGGGTACATTAACTTCCGATGGGTATTTCACATCCTTTTGTCTTGGCATGTTTTCGTTTTAAGCCTTACTCATTTCGATAGATCTAGTTTTTCTTCGATATTTTCGATTTTTTTCTTGTTTTGTTAGCTATGTTCAGCTGTATTTAAATAATCATTTTGATTACTGCATTCGTGTTTGGTTGAGAATAGGTGCTCCTTTTTGCTGATTGATTCTCAAGTTCACTTTCATTTGGAGATTAGTCGTGTTATCCAATTGCAAGTATGAACTGAATTTGAAAAACTATTTTTCCAAGAGTCAATGAATGAAGCGAAAAATTATTTAAATTGTGTTTTTCTTTCGTGGTTTTTTCTTCGGGAAACTGGTCTTTAAGAATGTTTACGCTGTATTTTGCTCTTCACGGGTTGAATTTTGATTTCTTTTCAATTTTAATTCAAAGTAAGTTAGTAGGTTCATTTCAATTCAATCAATCTAAATGGAAAGCATCCATTAAAAGAACTGTGCACTGTGGGAAATTTCTCTTAGTTTCAAAAGGGGAGTCATACGAATTTCTAGCGGAACCGGATTTTGAAAATTATATGCTGAATCTTGTTAGTGCTTTGGAGCAGCTCCCTAAAATCAGTTTGGCGGAACTAATAATTTTTTACCCTTTTTTAAAATAAAACTAGTTGATAAAACTAACCTAATTTGAGAATCAATGGATCAATAGCAGGGGCGAATCTCTAGGATTTTTTCGAACGGTTGGGTTGGTGGTTTTTCAAAAAAAATTCGAAAATTTTGTCGACTTTTTTTACCTTTAATAATTTTTTACCCTTTTTTAAATAAAAGGTAAAAAAAAAAGTCGACAAAATTTTCAAAATTTTTTGAACATCCACCAACCCCCCCGTTCAAAAAAAAATCCTAGAGAGATGCCCCTGCTATTGATCCATTGATTCTCAAATTAGGTTAGTTTTATCAAAAAAACGTGTGAAGCGTTAAAAAAATTTTGAAGATAATTTCAAAAGAGATCTTTAAAGAGAATTTTAAGAGAAGTTAAAAGAGCTCTGGGGTGATATATCTTTTCTTGAATCCCTGAATTTTTTTTTAATGTCGGTACCTTTTGTTCTCGTTGAGTTCATTGACACTTTTCCAACTGTTGTAAAGATTACGCAAATCCGGAGTTTTAAAGTTTCATTTCAATGTTAGTTGGAAACGTCAAGCATCAAGATTTAATAATAATAATAAGAGAGAGAGAGAGAGAGAGAGAGAAAGAGAGAGAGAGAGAGAGAGAGATATATATATATATATATATATATATATATAGATAGATAGATAGATAGATAGATAGATAGATAGATAGATAGATAGATAGATAGATAGATAGATACATACATTCGTTTACTTTAATGACCAATGTGTTTCCGATGCTAATATATTCGGTCTCACAAGCTCTTTTGATTACAATTTCGGTTTTCAGTTTAAATTTCGGTTTTCAGTGCATTTAGATCCAAATGGTGGGAATTAAGAATTCTTCGAGGGAAGTCACGCTTTTCTACAAACTACATAGAGCTGTACAGAATATATGTCACAAGAAAAAACGAGGCAATCTTCTGCATATTGAACTATTTTAGTTTGTCTAATTAGCGCATTTGAAATATCATTAAGATACAAATTGAATAGTAGAGGTCCGAGAACAGTACCTTGCTGTACTTCTTGTTTGAGTTCAATCCAGTCAGAAAATGTTTCTTCAACTTTTACACATTGTAACCTTTTTTCTATAAAACTTCTAATTAGCTTCAGTGAAAATAATGAAAAGTTTAGGGTTTTTAATTTACTCAATAAGATATCGTGGGTTATTGAATTGAAGGCCTTCAAAAGATCAAGTAGAACAGCAACGAACTATTTTATTATCTGCAATTTCCTTCTTGATTGATTCAGTAAAGTAGAGAACTGCATCTCTTGTCGAGAAAGCTTCTCTGAAACCGAATTGAGGAGGATTAAATCATTTGTATTGATTTAGATGCACAGTTATTCGTTCATGTAAAGTTTTCCCATAGATTTTCGAAAAAGCTGTTGTAATTGATACAGGTTGCCATCATAAAGTTAATCTATTTAATAAGTTAATCACAACAATTAGGCTAAACACAACATAATAACTTGATGCGGGTAATGGAAACAGTTTTTTCGATATCCTAATATCTCTAAACAAATAGCTATTTTTTTGAATTCACCTAGGGCCATTAACGATTTTAGAACCATATGTTTTTCATGTTTCTTTTTTTTTTTAGCTCAAACTCCACTTTGGGTTTTTAGGAAGCTACAAACGTGGACAAAGCTGGAAACGAGGTTATTGGCAAGCAGCTGGAGCTAGAGAGAAAGGATGTGTGGGATGTGTGTTGGAGCCGAGACGATCCACAATTGCTGGCTCTTATGGAGAAGACGAGGATGTACATTATTAGGGACAGCGAGCCAGAAGTAATCATTCATATAGATTAAGCAAATTGAAAATTCTCTACTGATGTGTTGTGAGGACTATGGGTTTCGTGAGGATTTCTGAGATACACGAAAGTGTTTAGACGAGGGGATTAGCAATTCATCGGAGAAAAAATTTCTTTGCTTGATTTTTCTTCATTATTTAAATCTTTTCAATTTTAATGGTATTTGAACCTGAGCAGATCAGCTGATCTCATTACCTACCTTTTCTAAGTGTTTTTTTAATAAATGATGTTAAAAGTTTTTTTTTCTGATATACTTCATTCGTAATCTTTTTCCTATGTTTAAGGAACCAGTCCAGTCTTCTGGCTACTTGTGTAGTTTCGACAACCTTCAGGTGCGAAGTGTGTTACTAGATGAGGTGTTGATGGCTCCCGAACAGTGCAGACGAGACAACATCATAGACAGAGAAGCCAGGTACAAATGAGACAAATCCTAGTTTTATGTACAGACGAAAATTGTAAATATTGTATATATATATATATATATATATATATATATATATATGTTAATAATAATATTGTATATTTATGTGAATTTAAGTTTGAATATACGACAAAATCAACTCGAAGTAAACCTAGTAAGATGTAGAAGAGGTAGTAAAATTAAGTAAGATGAGATTGGTTAGTTACAAACAGTAAAAAAACTTTAACTCACAGATTTTATAATAAAATTAGGCAGGTGCTGTCAAGGCTAGTACAACGCTCAAACATTTTGTTAATTTCAACTTTAACTATTGACCTTAATCAATAGGTCACGTATCAAACTGCGCGAGGTGAAAAAAATTATTCTTGATTGGAAATAAGTTTATATAAATTAAGTTTATATAAATTGGGCACATCATGGAAATTTTCAAAGTTTTACCAGCTTTCAAGTGTTTAAGTTCAAGTTTCTTTTTGAATGGGGTTCTCCTCATTTTTATAGCTGGCGACTTCTTTTTAGAGCAGTCTTCGATAGTTATCATTTCATTCTCTTCAATATTTTTAACAGAATATCCATATTGGTTCTCTGTAGAAGTCTGTTGATTTCTTGGCTCTTCCAGATGACCTGTTTGACATCCTTGATGATTGTGAACCACCTCGCTTTCGGCCTCTTGCCCTTTGTTTTGACTGTTAACTTGTTTTCCCGGGGTTGCCTTTGATGGGCCTGCTCTAATTGGTACTGGTGACTACGGTTTGAAATCGGCGGTGCGGGCGACAGATCAGCCAGTTGTGGCTGCTTCTATCTCTGGACTGCTAGATTTTCACTATCTTCAGCGGAGGTACTCACTCCCTCGGATCTGTCGATGGTAAGCCACTCGGCTCTGTCGATGGTAAGCCACTCGGCTCTGTCGATGGTAAGCCACTCGGCTCTGTCGATGACGTAGACATCTTAAAGACTGGTTTCTTGATTGGTGTACATAAACATGGCTGGTTTCTTCCTTTTTCTTTTACAAACTCAGCGGATATGTTGTTAGTCTGCCCGATACAGTCTTCCTCGGAGATGAACACATGTTCCGCTGCACCCTTTCTATGTTATCCTCCTCATCCGAACTCGATAGTATAAAGATCTCATTTTCGATTTTTGTCTCTGGTTGGCTTTGTTCCATATCCACTTTCTACAAACTTCTGGATTCTGTCGAGCGCTGTGAATGAGCCCATTGGAGTCTCTTTCTGTTCGAGAGATCATCAGCTCATTTTTTATCCTTTCTATCAATTGTACATTATTTGTACTTGCGTTCTCTACAATAAGACTTTCGCAATATAGAGCATCATGATGAAGCAATCAAACTAGGCAATGAGTCGAGAAATCAGTCACCAGTTTTTTTACTTTAATCAAAGTACGTTTAATTTTAGTAAATAATTGATTTTTTTTTTCGTTAAAAACAGGGTTTATGATTGTTTCATTGTCCTCAGTTTAATCTACAAGTGGGCAAATATGTGCCTCCTGATGATTCCAACAAACCAAATTTGATTCTTTGCCTTTTCTTACCACATATGAGAACTTAATAGGCTCATGCGTTTTACCTGAGTGAAATTTGACATGATGGCTAAATATTCATACCTACTTTTCACACACAAACGGGTAAATACTTGAAGATGACGTTTTTACGAAAAGGGTAGAAAACTAAAAAGTTTCCTCCCTAAATAAACAGTGGTTTTTTCATGAAAAAAGAGTATAGGAAAAGGAGAAGTGTATTGCTAAAGGGTGAGTCTTTACAAATGCGTGTGATATGAATTGAACTGGTTAGGTCTCTGCGTGACCTGAGGGAGATGGTGGGCAAGATATCTCTGGAAGACACAAAGCAGTACATACAGGACAACCCACACCCCAGGCTGTGGTGAGTTATCAACACAACATCTGTCAGAAAAGAAATATTCTTTTCTCTTAGTTCATTTCATTTTTTTTAAGTTTAATTCAGTTTCCAAAAACGTTTTTGATAATAATTACTGAAATTATTTTTCTTTTGCCAATAATTTTGATCCTACGGTCTACCTGTGCGATGAGAATGGGTGGTAAAGCATACATCATCATCATCATCATCTTTTGCTAAATTTTTCTAACTAGTTTTTCATTATTGGAAACAGTTAAATAATTTCTAGGAACCTGCTGGGCGAGAAAGCCCTGGAACAGCTGGAACTAGACGTGGCGGAGACAGCGATGGTGCAGTGTAAAGACTACCCAGGCATCCAGTTTGTGAAGAGAATCAAGCTGCTTCAGAATGACACTCTGAGGAAGGCGGAGGTGGAGGCCTATTTGAACAGATTCGACCAGGCTGATAAATTGTACTACGAGATGGACAGAAAGTTAGTAGACAACTACAGTCCTTTTTGCCCAATTTTTAAACTTCGGTCACGGTTGGAGGGGTTTCAGTGTTATGCGCCTCCTCAAGGTGGTACCGGATACAGCAAAATAGATGGAATCCCCCCCCCCCCCCCCCCCCACGGAAAAAAGGCCAAAAGTAGAACGGTGGAAGTAGGGCCGGGGGCTGAACAAATCTTTCAACCTTCCCTATAATTTAACCTCCCGTTTGACCTATCGAGGAGCTTGTGACCACTGTTTCTTTTGAAATTTTTGGCAATATTTATTACATGTAAGCCAGGTCATATTCATGAGAACGTACCACAGCAGATTTTAATTATAAATGATGCAATTCGATTTTACGATGATTTTTCTGAGCAATGTTCAATGTATTTTGTAATTGCCATCATGAAAGGTCTAAAGCATATATCAAAAATATTAAGCTGGTCTTTTTAAGTATTCTGTCGAAATGGTTGTAAAATATCGGAACGTGAAAAGAGATCTGAAAGTGCTCAAAATTTCAAGCATCTGATTTGTCAAAATCAATAAAACGTTGGCTCATTGGTTGAAAGTTTTCCACTCTGATTTTTGAATGTTTTCCTTCATTCGATCCAACCATTACGAGAACAGCCCCCTTGGTACCGTGTTCAGTTCCAATGACGCAATGCTTAAAATGTTTCTTTTAAAGTTGGTAGCATTAAGTTGAAAAGCAAGCTTCATGCAGTTTTGTTATAGGGATTTAGCAGTTGAGTTGCGGCAGAAGTTGGGTGACTGGGTGAGAGTGGTGCAGCTGCTCAAGGCCGGAAGTGACGGGGGAGACGACACGAGACTGGAGTACGCCTATAATGCCATTGGGGACTACTACGCCGACAGACAACACTGGTTAGAAAGAGAAATATATTCGCTTTTCATGCGTCTTCCCATTTTCTAACTCAATTGATGTATGAATGATTGAAGTGATTTTCTTAACATAGTAGTTATTGGTCCGATTTCCGAAAGAAGTGACAGAATATTTCTGCTCAGTGTTGTTCTGTTTTCTCCTGGCAAATTTCAACTTTTTTACTAGCGTTTTCGGCGGAATTTTTTTTTATCATAGGAAAGGTATTGTTGTCCTGAGCTGAAATTAAAACAGATACTTCACGTGTCAATTTGTTTTTCCAAGGGATAGAGCTTCAAAGATTGATAATATGGACAAATTGGGACAACTAACGCGTGATTTATTTTGCGCTATTAACGCGTAAATTGAGATTCAATCCGTCTTAGAAATCGTCCCAAATTGGTTGAAGCAGGCTATTTGTCATAAGTTTTTAAGGAGTAATGAACGTAGTGAAGACTCTTCTATAGGTCTTGCTGATTTTTTTTGTTTTTTTTTTCAGGAAAAGTCTCTAATAACTACAGATGTGCATTCATACATTTTGATGCATTTATAAATGCACTTAGGTAAATGTGTTCTTTTTAAGTTCAATTGAAGTTGATTGGCCGAATAATTTTTTACCTATTGATTCAGTTTTCTCTAGTTGGGTTCATGTTATCAAAAAAGCGCAAATCATAAATTCTTCTAGAAATTCAAAGAGCTTAAAGGGCATTTATTTTTTCTTTGAAGTTCGAAAGTTGAGATTTTTTCAAGAAAGTCAGTTCTTTCTGATATGAGCACTCTTGTTTCATGTGAGTTTCAATTGAGCAAGAACTTGTGAGTTCGTCTCAAAATTGCAGGGCCTTTAGTTGATTTTTTGAATTCGAGAAAAACAACCTTTTTTTGTCCGAGTTTTTGATTATATTCAATTTTTTCCAGCTCCCTTTCTTTTTGACGTATGACATAAATGGGAAGAAAATGATGAAGAATAATTCGATTATCCTGACAAGTACACTTATCATGTATAATCTTCTCGTCATATAAAATAATCTATCAGTTTGAGCCGACAAAGTCTACCCTGGATCGAAGCAAGCAAAAGTGTTACATGCATTTTTTTTCTGGCAAACTAAATTGAGCGTTAGTGTTTCTTGCAATTTCTTGAAATGCTTAATGTATACATACATTAAGTGGCCTTATGAGTTTCTATTTATTACATGCAAAATTTGTGTAGATGACCTCAGTTTGATATATTCCATACTATTACTTGCAAAATTGTGTCTATTTGTATTTGGTGCAACTTTTGCTGCATCGCATTCGGAAATTTGATCGGATATGTAGCTGCTTTAATTAGTGTTTCCCGGTTGTTTAAGCGTTTTTGCCCGAGAGGGCAGGGTGTGAGGCTCCGATTCTCGAGATCGCAGGATCGAAGCACATATATAGCAAAGTTTTACTAATTCGAGGCTTATCTATGTTTTATTTCACTTAATGAAGCTGATTTTCTGGTTTTCTCGCTAGTTTTGCGAAGCGCAGCTTCGCCTTTGTGTTAAAACTTAGTTTACTCTCGAAATGTTGCGAAAACTGAACGCTATCGATTCATACTGCAAGCCAAATCGCTGTGTGCTTCAGCTTCGATAATATCTAGTTATCTTTCAAGGAATGCGCAAATTTTGAAACTGCACGTTTATTCATGTTCTCCAGACTTGCAGGCAGTATTCTTTGTGTTTACGAGAATTAGCAGCCTAGTTGAAAACAGAATGAGACGATTTTGGAGATTTAAATACCAACAATATCCAGAAAGTTGCTTTTCTGGTTTTCTTATGGGAATTTTCTTTTCTTAAACAAAAATTGTGCAAGAAGTGGGCCCTATACGAAAACTTCTTGTGCAGAGGTCTTACACAAGAAGTTTTTGAAAGGCAGAAAAACTGAAGCCTATGAACAGTTGAAATTATGTCCCATCAGCATTTTTTTCGATATACGTTCCTCCTCAGTGCTCTCGTACTTAACGCTCGTAAAATTAAAATGGGGTTCAAAGTTGAGAGTTGGTTGTAGTCGTAAATAAGAACACCGTACTTGATATTATAGAAGGAGTATTTGAAAAGATCAGTGTCCATGCATCACAATGCCGTCCTAATTTTGATTTGGTTTTATGTATTTCGCTATGAAAAAGCAGATTGCCTTGTTGTTATGAACTATTTTACCAAAATATTTGCAAAGTGGTGTAAACTGAAAATTATAATCATCTTGACATAATTAGAGCCCCGGTCCAATGTTTCTCGATTCGAAATTTACTATAACGGACTTAAAGTTATTCAGTGGAGTTTATCGAGATTTAGCCAGTTATTTACTCTTTTAATATCATCAAAGAAAGTTTTTACAGATTTCGAGTTAGTAGTTCAAACCTAATTCTATAAGTACTCAAAAAACTCATGTGATTTATCAGTACCCGATTAATCTTCAAATCAGAAGAATCGAATGTCCCAAAATGTGTCTGTGTCAGCCAATCAGAGTTTAGTATTCTGAAATTGCGACGGAAATAAGCTTGAAAATTATTGCGTTTAATTTAGACAGTTTAAGGAACATGAACTGATTATCAATTGTAGCGGACTAGGTGCTTCTGTCATAAGAACCAGGGGCGGATTTAGGGGGGGGGGGCGGACGCCCCCCCCCCCCCCCCCTTCAGGGATTCGAAACCCTGCCGACCCAAAGGGTCCCCCCCTTTGGCCCTTTTTAAGAAATCCATTTTTGGCCGACCGACCCTAAAATTTTTCTAAAGGCGCCTTCGGCGCCAATATTTACTAATTTTGAGGGGGGAGCGCGCGCCGAAAAAACGCAATTTTTTTGGTCAAAATTTTCCAAAAAGTGCCTAAAAACGCCTTTTTTTGACTGTTTTTTCAAAAATTTGCTTGCGGCGCAGAAAATTTTGCCAAAATAGGGGCAAAACAGTGCTTTGGGAGAGCTCAAAAAATAAATTTGGTCGACCTAAAAAAATCCGCCCCCCCCCCCCTCGAGAAAATCCTAGATCCGCCCCTGATTAGAACAGCCCTTCCTTCCCATGTTTAGGTCCAAAGCAGTAGTGTACTACAGCCAAGGACGCAGCCAGGAGAAGCTAGCCCATTGCTACTACAGTCTGGAGGACTTCGAGGCACTGAGCAAGATGGCCTCCCACCTGTCTGAGAACCACCCCCTGTTGCCACAAATAGCAGAGATGTTTGTATCTGTCGGCATGTCACAGGAAGCAGTCGATGCATACAAAAAGGTAAAATTGAAGCTGAATAATCGGAAGTGAATTAAAAAGTGAAATGTTCAAAATTTTGAGAGTTTGAAGACGCGAAATTGTCTATAGAAATCCAAAAATGAAACAAGGATAGCCGGTTGCTGTGCAAGTAGATCAGAATGTTCCAACCACCTTCGTAGAAAAGCCACAAAAATATATTTTTTGTAGTTTTAATGTTTTTTCTGTGCGTTGTTGTGAAAGAGAACTTTACAAACGCGTAGAATGTTAGTGACTTAGGCATATCGACAAATGATTTTTTTTTTAGAAAAACGAATAATCGACGAATAAATTAAAAGAATTATAATTGTGTAAGTATGTTTTTTGGATTGCCTGTCCAGGCTTTACGCAATTTTTCATGTATTAAGTTGTATATTTGGTTCGCTCCAGATAATATAATGATATCTGGTTTTGTAGTGTGGAAAGGTGAGTGAAGCAATGGACTGTTGTATCATGCTGAACCAGTGGGATGCGACGATAGAACTGGCCAAACAGTCCAACTCTCGAGACATCGACAACATGCTGGCCAGGTACCTTTTTTCGCGGATTGTTTGGCACTTTTCACATCTGGTTTTTATAGGTTAGAGTTATGTTAAGCCTTCGGTGCCTTGATATATTGGGTCGGACCAATTTGCATGCTCGATTTGCATGTTCAAATTTTTTGATTTGATCGCTCAAATTTTCATCACAAGCGCAGTGTAGTGTGATATTACGATGCAACTTTTTTGCCAACTGAATTTGCAAATAAAAGTGCTACTTTTGACTATCGTTTTTTGCTGTTTTGTTTTTGATTGTTTTATGGTCACGCAACAGATGAACGGCAAATTGCGCGCTCAAATAAAGAATTTGTAAACAACGCTGAAGAAAACGATATTAGATTTTTGGTTTCGATATTTGGTTTTAATTTTTTGATTTCCCATCTGAATACAAAAATAAAATTAAGATCCAGTTTTCCTAACTTTATCGAAAAACTGTCAATCGTAAAATTTTGTTACTTGAATTTCGGTTCAAGTTCGCCGGTGGTTGCGCGTCGCCTCTTAGCAGCGATAACCGATTCTAACTTTTGTATAAAGTCCTACACTTAGTCCGCCAGCTCGCAACATGTTGGTGGTGTGTATATTGCGAGTTGTCTTTTAATGCAAATTGTCTATTATTGCGAGTTGTGTTCTGTTTCAGTTGTCATATTACTTTGGAAAATCTGCAACAAAATTCAGTGGAATAAAAATCTGTAAAAAAAGTTATTTTCCAATCTAATTGGTTTGAATTCACAACGATATCTCCATCCCCCTCTAAATCAATCAGGGAAAAGAGTGAATTAATAAAAAGCGAATGTAGAATAATAATAGTTGCAGAATTGAAGTCGAAGTGTGTAATTAACGTACAGAAACTAAAGCATACGCTGGTGCTAGGTTTCTTAGCAGACGCGCCAATGGCAAGCAGGGGTGACCGCTGGCTCCGCCTTGCTCTGCTGAGCTTACATTCAGTACCAGTAGGATTGTGCGCGTGAAGAAGTGTTTGCCGCTAACTCCGTTTTTTTTCTGTTTTTGAAGTTGATAGAGTTTAGTTGACAAACGGAGAGATAATTTTCTCAATTAGTAAATATCGACCCAAAACTAAGCCTTTTAAAAACCTGCCAATCAATTATGCGTCAGTTGTAGTATATCGGTGTCCTAAAAGACTAAAGTTTTTTATGCTACGCTCCGAAAATCAAAAAGATAATTCAAAATAGTTCTTAGTCACTCACTTGACGCTAAGTTTAAATCCGTTTTTCTCGATCTGATTCTAACCACTGAAATAGAGAATCTCCAACTTCATTTATCTCTGTGAAATAAAAACCAATTTTGATTTAATGTAGCCCATCTCAAACTAAGGTGTTCAAGTTTTATCTTTTTGTGAGATACAGACTAAAGTTTGGATAGTGAAATATATATATAATAAAAAGATAATAAAAAATAATAAATAATAAAAACAAGCCTCTAATAAAAATAATCATAATAAAAACATAATTGACATAATTTTTCAGGTATGCAACTCAATTGATTGAGAAGGGAAGAATCGTGGCGGCTGTGGAGCTGTACAAGAAAGCGGGAGATTACATTCAAGCGGCGAAGAAACTATTCGAGGTATGATTTATGGTGACCGCTCGACTAGCTTAAAGCTCGACTAGCATAAAAGTCGATACAGTTTTCAATTTTGAAATTTTTATGCTAGTAGATACACTAAATTGGTTGCGTCATGATAATCCTAATTTATTGAAGATAGGACGGAAAATGTCACTTAGCCTCTAAATGGGAAACATGGGGAATATTTTCGAAAAGTAAAGCAAAGCCATCTAGATCCACCATGTTTGGTTGCGCCAGTTTGTAATTTTTGTGCTGCGTAGATCTTTTGAGCGGGGAAATTCGAGATTTGATTTGTTCTGTTTGTTTGTGTGGTTGATAGTTAAGAGCCTAAAAAATTATGAGCATGAAAAATAATCCGGAATGTTTCAGAGGTTTTCCACAATCGTTAATAAGACAAAAGCGAATGATAATACCGAACATTCAAATGTCAATGCCATCACAACAATTGCGAGGCTAGAGTTCTCTTTTGGTTTCTAACTAAATTGGTTGCCTCTTGATAATCCTAATTTGGCCAAGATAGGACGGTAAATGTCATTTGTCCCCTTAAGGGAACACCTGGGAAATATTTTCGAAAAGTAAAGCCAAACCAAATAGATCCACCATGTTTAATAATACCAGTTTTTGAGATTTCTTGCTTCATAGATCTTTTGAGCAGGGAAATTCGTTAAGAGCCAAAGAGTCATTTCGATTGCCGATTTACTCTATCTTAGAAATCGTTCCAAATTGAATTGAGGCATGCTATTTGATCTTTTTAATACTTAGCTAAATGAAAAAATGTATTACTTTATAGTTAACATAGCGTGTGGCGGAAGATTTTCGCAAAATTTTTAAGTTTTCTTAGGAAGATTCATCAATTTTCTCTTAAACGAACACTGCTCCATAACCTTTAAGCACACTCGAAACCTTCGGGGCTTCGCTCTGATACGCGCACGAGCAGTCTTGTTCCGGTTTGACTTTTGATTTTATTAAAAAATTTTATTTCAAATTTATGGCTCCTTTTCCTTTTACACCATAAATACTCATGTGAGTTGTGGGAGCCAAATTTATTTGCTAAACAGAACGCAATTTCCGCTTTCCGATATCCAAATTTCAAAACGCGCAAAAACTGTGATTGACTTTTAGTTTGGAAAGTGAAATTCGTTTTTTATATTTCACTGCGGAATAAAGTATTTTCATTTGATCCAGTTGCTCAAATTAGATTTTTTTTTTCAAAAAATGTCAATCAAAGCAGGTTCTTGGAATTCAGTGAGCTTTAACATGATGTTTTTTTCTAAAACTAGGAAGTTGAATGTATTTCCAAAAAAAAATTTTTTTTTTCTGTTTTTTCCTTGACACTGTTCTGACCAACTGATATTTGAACATCCAAATAATATTTAGATGTTCTTTCTAGATAGCGAAAGAGGAAATTGGGAAGAAAAGCAGTCCCCTTCGCATCAAGAAGATCTACGTGTTAGCAGGCAAGCTGGTCGAGATGCACAGGGAAAAGTCACTCGGCACCAGATACAAGTCAAAGAACAGCGATGTGAGTGTAGTTGGTTTTTTTGCATGCACCAAACAGAATTGTTGCCCGGCCAATAGTTTTGTAAATAGTTTTCACGGTAACGGTGGTCGGAAATTATGTGCTTAGTAGCACACTTTCGTCTGACCATTAATATGTCGCGGAATCAAAGATGGCCGGAGTCAAAGTTGACCTGAGTCAAAAGGTCCGTGGGTTCCAGCTCAGATCCATGGGAATGCAAGCTACTAACTTCCAATACAAACTGGCCCAAAATTTGTTGAAGAGACATAGTTTATGAGAAAAGTATGCAGCTAAGATTAGTTCACGTTGTTGGTGTTATTTGTAGGCGTTAACTGGTCTGCTCGATGGCGATTCCTTTTCCGCCAATGACTCTAGGATACTGGACAATGCATGGAGGGGTGCAGAGGCATTCCATTTCTACGTACTCGCTCAAAGACAGTTCTACGCAGGCAAGTATTTAAAACTAGACAAATCGTCAACAGGGAGCGGGGAAAAATATTGTTTAAGAGTAATGAACGTAGTGAAGATTCTTATATAGGTCTTTCTGATTCTTGTTTTTTTTTCAGGTGAAGTCCTCAAATGCTCTAATGTGCATTCATACATATTGATGCACTTATGGATATATCCATTTTTTGGGAGTTATGGGAGTTCAAATGAACTTCATCGGCTGACAGTGAATTTAATTTTTAGATTTCCAATGGAATAAAAGCTTTACCTGTTGATCCAGTTTTCTCAATTTGGTTAAGTGTTGTCAAAAAAGCTTCAATCATAAATTTTTCTTGAAATTCAAAGAGCTTAAAGGGCATCTATTATTTGTAATTCTAAAGTTGAGATTTTTTTGAACCATGTCAGTTCTTTCTTGTTTACTTGCGTTCATTACTCTTTTCCAATCTTCGATTGGCTAGTGGCTAGGTTTTAATTTTTTTAGTGGCCAATTTTTGGCACATTTTCCTTTTCCATCTGTAGTTTTTGACAGTCACGCAGTTTTTGCCTTTAAATACTGAAATTTTTTCGACTTCACGAGATGTTATCTGCGCATTAACGAATTATGTGGATCATTAATACGAAAAAAGTCGAGACGGATTAACGATACAATATACCCCCGAATCGATTTAGCGGGAGAGAATATAGATTTTCCAGGAAAGAAGACTTGGAGACATGTCAACAAAAATTTAATGTTTTATTTGACAAAATTGGTTCTTGAAATTACATTAATTTAGGTAATAAACAGCATTCAAATGTTAACTCACATAAAAGTTGCGAAAAATGTTTGTGAGTTTGTTCGAGTTGCATACTTTAAACACTAATTAATACTTAGGTAGGTGAAATATTCTACGGTTGGTCACTTAAGAGGGATTGCACTGTTGATCTGTCGATACTAGATTCACAGTTATTTAATTTATTTTCTATTGAAGGTTCTAGAATCCCATAAAAAGAGGTGACATTTTTTAATCTCAAAAGTTCTAAAACTAATTTTAAAAAATGAAAATACAAGTATAAGTGACATTTTGGATACAGTCATGGGTCATTGAAAGTGCAACTTTTTGACTTCAACGAGCAAATGAACAAATTTTTAAAGTCTCGTTTTTTCCGTTTTGTCTGCAGCTATTAGATGTTGCAACTTTTTGATTTCACCTAGCAAATGAATGAAATTTTGACATATAATAGATGGAACTATTTGAAAGGACTTAATATTTGAAAGGCGAACAAAATAAACAATTTGAATTTATGGGCTGAAATTGGTTCTTCGGGAAGCTCTTGAGCTTGAATGACTTTTTACGGCGGCGAAATATGACAGTTAACAGAATTGAAAGAGTTGATTGGTCAGGTGTTCATAATCGGCTTATATTTCATGAATAAGTTTGCTCTGATGATCGAAATCAGTCAATAAAAAGCTGTTCCAGCAAATATTTTGAAAAAGTTGTAAAGATGTAATCTAGGCACAAGATTCTCATGAGCAGTTTTTTTGTATGTAAATGTTGTCCAGTTTTTTTGGTTAAGCTCCCAAGAACGTTTATTGCATATGTCGTTCAAACATTTATGATCGTTTCTCGACGCTGGGCCAAGTTCTCTTTCATTTCTTTCTTATTTCGCCGCCGTAAAATGTAAGTCAAGCTCAACACTTCCCAAAGAACCAATTTCAGCCCATAAATTCAAGTTCACTATATTGTTTGCGAAGATGTTTTCACAGCAAGAACACCTCTAAAAATAGTTGTGATATACTGGCAAATTGACGCCTTAAAAAGATGATTTGCAATTTTTGGCGCGGCTAAGCCTACCCAAATAGTTTTTATCTTGCATATGTCAAAATTTCATTCATTTGTTTGTCGAAATTCAAAAGTTGCAACTTTTCGTCTCGTGATTGTAGCAAGATACATACATCTTTGACCTGAGGTGACCTTCAATAATTAGATTTTTTTTTGTTGTAGAGAAGACGGAGATGGCAATGAGGACGTGTATGCAGCTGGTGGACTATGAGGACTACATTGACCCCATGTCCATCTACTCCCTCCTCGCCCTCAGTGCAATCAGGTATCCAAAGCTCATCATACATTTAACCGAAAAACGAATTGATTTTTTATTTGTTAGCTCAGTTACTGCATTCAACGGGCAGCGTGCTCGTGAACGCCGATTGGTTGGTTGCTTAGTTGTGTTCTGTAACTTGCATGCTGGTAGAAAGCAAGTTATAAGTAAGTTATAAGTGATAAGGCTCTTTATGAATGATATTAAATCAATAAATTGTGTCATAATGCAATAAATTGTTTCATAATTTTCTCTCAGGAAAACCATTTCTATTTCAGTTTTGGTTAAAATATCATGAGCAATGATAGAAGTCAGAAACAAAAACAACTTTTTTTATCTCTCAAAAATCGATTGCATGATTTGCAGTTGTTTCTCCTTAATAGATTTTTGGTCTCGCTTTTTAGATGCAGGAGTTTCGACATGGCTTCCAAAGCATTTGGAAGATTGGAGGAAGTTGCAAGTGAGGGTGAGGAGAAAGAAGAAATAGCACAACTGGCAGAGACTATTTTTGTTCGGTGAGTTGATTTAAATCATATAGAAGTTTGTAAGTTTTAAAAAACTGTGATTAATAAAGTGATTTATCATTTATTTGGGTCATGTGGCTTTGACAGGAAAAAGTTTTAAAATTTGTGTTCTCTCCAAACTTGATTTTTCGAGGTTTGAATTTTTGAGTTTTTCACTTATATTCATGTTCAAATTCTCAAAGGAATTCAAATTACGCTCTTCAATTACGAAAGCAGAGAGGGGTAGAAAAAACTTGGGTTTTTGTTGATTAAGTTTGGAGATTTATTTAAGACACCCTCCGAAAAGCAAGGCTAGTCTAGACAGGGACACATGTTTGAACTGCGGAGAGGCCAGTCTCTATAAATGGTGAGTAACATTCATACACTCTTGTGGTTTTACTTTTGAAGACTCGTGAACCTAGTGAATATTCTTATATAAGTCTTGGTGTTTTTTTTTCAGTTGTTTTTCAAGAAGTCGTATATGCGCTTTTTAAGAGTCGATGAACGAAGTGAAGACTCTTGTAAAGTTCGTGATGTTTTTTCAAGAGTCGATGGACGTAGTTCAGACTCTTATGTAAGTCGCCATTTTTTTCTTCAGGAAAAGTCTTAAAATTTGTTCAGGCTCAAAATTACTTTTCACGGTTTGACTTGATTTTTTTTTCAAGTTCAATTCATTTTTTTAAAAAGGAAGTCAAACTCCACTATCGAACAGCAAAAGTGTGAAGGTCACGAAAAACGCGATCGACTTCGAAAGTGAAGTTTAATTTTAAGGCCAGCGGGAGAAAAAGATTACCTATTGATATAGAGTTCTCAAGTTGGTTGAATTTTATTTTAAAAGAGCCCCTCATAACTTGTTTCTAAAATTAAAGGAGCTTTAAGGGCTTTTATTTTTTCTATTTCCTTGCGCTCATTGGCATTTCCAAGTGAATTACTTTGTTCACAGGATGATCAAAAGTGGGGGTCATCTCCCGCATTACTTTCTTCAACTAAGTGACAAATTTTGAGATGTCTGCATTTTAAACGCCCGTTCTTTTGAATTTTGTTTTGGTTGTAAATTTATCAAACCCGATTCAATATATCAAATTTTTATCATTTGTTCTCCATAATCGTCCTGAAAGTTTGTGGGATTTTTTAAAGTTGGCTTAGGGGCCTCTTTTTGACGGTTTGATGAGCAAAAATAATTATATTTAATTGTTTTAAGGGGGTACTAAACCCTTTTTGACTTTTCATGTTTTTCTAATTAGTTTTTTCGACTCAGCGTGTGTAGGCTCAAGAATTGTCGGCTTGGTTACCACTTTGTAACTTTTGTTTGGACGCTAATTTAACATTCATTTATCATTCTTGGCATATTTTTAAGAGTAGATGAGTGCAGACTTATATAGGTCGTGATGATTTTTTTGTTCAAGGCAATTTGCTCAGGCTCAAATTTCGCGGTTTCATTTTTGAATTCCTTTTACGTTCAGTTTGTTTGCTGAATTTAAAGGAAAGCAAACTCCCCTATTGAAGAGCAAAAGTGTAAAGGCCACGAAAAAGGTGATAGACTTCTAGTTTCGAAAGTGGGTCTTAGTTTTCAGACTTCCTAGCGGAATAATTAGTTTACATATTGATCGAGAATTCTAAATTGGGCTTATTTTTATCCAAAAATGATATTTGTTAATTAAAAGAATTTCAAAGAGCTTAAAGTCCATCTGTTTTTTCTTTTGTAATTTGAAAGTAATTCGAAATTTTTTCATAAAGAGAGTCAAAGGGTAACAATGCTTAAACGATGGCAATACTCAGTCGCTGTTTAAGAGCCAATGACCGTGGTGAAGACTCATTATAGGTCGTGATTATTTTGTCAAGTCTTCATTTTTTTTCAGGCTCAAATTTGATTTTCAGTTTTTTTTATATCTTTTCAGGCTCAGTTGATTTCCTTTGTTAAAAGGGAGGCAAATTTCAGTATCGAACAGCAATCGTATGAAGATCACAATAAACATGGTTGGATCCGAATTTTGAAAGTGAAACTCATTTTTCAGCTTTCGCTGCGGAATAAAAACTTTACCCATTGATTCTTTTTCCCCACATTGAATTAATTTGATCAAAAAAAGAGTGAATCTTAATTTTTATCAATTGTTTTTGAAATTCAAAGAACTTGAAGGCCATCTATTTGTTTTGAAAATTGACTGTTGATTTTTTGTTTAAAAAAAACGAAATATTTCTTCTGTTTCCTTGCGTTCCTTGACTAAGCTCCTTGACCATATAATTTGAAATTTGAACGTTTTTTCCGTTTCCTTGCGATCATTGATACTTGTCCAAATGTCTGCTGTCTATCTTTTTCTCTCAAAATGAAGCTCTTACCACGCACCGCTATTCAAAATTTTTTTCGCACTACTTACTGTATCAGGTACTGGCGGTTTTCTTTGTTCTGCCTCATTTGTAATGTTTAACCTACTGGTCTTTGTTTTGCTCTGTATCCCATGTTGTACTAGCTTGTCGTGCTTTTCGGAAAAAAAATGTCCACCAAGATAGCAAAGACCAGAATGGAAAACAAAGAAAAATTTAACAGCTTCCGGTTAGAGAAATACTAAGAAGAAATATGAGTTAAATTGAAACGAACCCACAATAAAGAATTAATTATATACTTCAAGATCCGAAAGCTCTGATTTCTCTTTCATTTTGTCTTTGATAATTTAAACTACGAGAAACTTTTCTCTTTGGTATCGATTCCAGTTTCAATGTTTTAATTGTTTTCACTAGCGCGGAATACGCGTCAAGCATCATCGATAAGTTCTGAAAGGCACGTATGCATATCTCCAGCATGCTGGATGTTTTTAACCTAGTGACGCGTAGTGGAACAATGAAGCTTTTATGTGACGCTTATATTGCTCGTGATGATTTATTTTCTGTTTCTTTTTCAGCAAAAAAGTAATATTTGTTCACGCTCAAATTTGTTTCGTTGTGGTTTTCATTCGTTTTCTTTTTTAAATGAATGCAAATTTTGCTATTGAATGTAATAGTCACGAACAATTTGATCGACTATTACACCAGTGGACAAATTTAAGTGCAATTTCAGAATTTTTTTCTCTAAAATGCCCGTTTTCAACGTCATTTTTGAAAAAAATTTTTCCATGTTCAGCAAATTTTCTACGTAGACTAAGAACAAATTATCAGAACTACCCTCTATGAAACTATCAGTACTTGATTTCAATGACTTACCAAGGTAATCCGGGTCTGAAAATGCCAGTTTTCTTCATCTTCACTTCCTTTTGTATCGTAGTGAATTCTTTCTTGAATAAGCGGATTAAAACGTTGTTCATACGAATCGATACATTCTCAGCGAGAATGTTGAACTAATCAGTGTGAAAACTTTACTAAGCTGGGCTGTTTCTCGCGAAATGAAAAATTTTGTGCAGATGAGGAAATATGGAAATTTCAGACCCGAATTATATTGGTAAGTCTTCGAAACCAAATACTGATCGTTTCATAGAGGGTAGCTTTGGTCTATGTAATTCAGTTTTCCTGAAGTTTGGTTGAAATTTGTTAAAAATGGAAATTGAAACAGGCATTTTCGAGAGCTTTGAAAATGGATTTTACTTTTCACAGTTCCCAGCAGAATCAAAAAGATTACCTATTAATTCACTTTTCTCAAAATGATTACATTTTATCAAAAGTATGTCAGTCATCAAATTTCTTTGAAATTTGAAGCGCTTTTGAGGTCATATTTTTTCTTTGAATTTCGAAATTTGATGATTTTTCGAAAAATTATTTTTCTCTTTAAAAAAGAACCGGATTTGTTTCCTTTCGTTTATTGACAGGTTCCCGACTGTCGGTTGGCTATTTTCGATTTTGAGCTGAGGTTTCGAAATCTTCAAAATGTATATGAAACATTTCTGTGGAACAAGTTTTTCCAATGCTCCTAATTTGTCTGAATTTGAAGAAATTACGAAAATAGTTTTACAAAATAGTTTTTTTTTACTGTATTGAATGTTCGAACCTCACACAATTATGTATTTAAACTAGCGATCAGATCAGTGTATTAGTACGAGCCTTCTTTTTTTCTAAGCTAATTCGCAAATAAAAATGTTCATTAAAAGTGTTCACGTATTTGGAAATTTCACTGTAGCATTGTAAATTGCATAGCATCTGTTCTCTGCTTTATTTGTGGCTATTTGCTAATAAGCTTCCGTGGCTGAGTGGTAAGTGTCTGTGACTCTAAATCTCAAGTTCGCCGGTTGAAATTTGAGGCTTATTTCTACTTTTCGTATTGAATTTTTTGTTGTGTTTTCGCTAGTGTTTGCGAAACTAAGTTTCGTCCCTGTGTATCTTTTTGATTGATAGCTTACGTATATGAACCAATCGAATCATAAAATAGATACCACATAAACCAACCAAAAACAAGGAGAAGTTACCTTGAAACCTTATTAAAAGCTGCTTTCTGTGATGCAGATTTCAATGCAATTTGGTCAACTTTAGGTTCGCCTAAATGCTCCGTGAAGTTTCCGTTGGTTAATATTCCGGATGAATTTCTCCGCTGGATCAAAGACCATTTTGCGAGGATCGAAACCTTTAAACTGTCAATGCTTTACAGGGAATCTAACAATCTAAAGGACAGTTGAAACATTCGGGCTTCCACCTTGATGCGACCCTTTGACTCTTTTCCAGTTTCGTACCCCCTCTTAAATTAACCTTATAAGTTGCCTAAAAGTTGTTACGACGGCTATTTGCATGCAAGAAAAGGATCAAATCTATTCACTTGAGCTAGCTAACTGTTTAAGAGTAATTAACGTGTTAGTGAGTACTCTTATATAGGTCTTGCTGATTTTTTTTTTTCATTTTGATTTTTTTTTGCGGTTTGACTTGTGGTTTCTTCATTAAAACAAAAATTCATTGCTTTTCTTTTGTTAGAAGGAAGGCAAACTCCACTATCGAACAGCAAAATTGTAAAGGTCACGAAAAACGTGATCGACTTCTAATTTTGAAAATGGAAATTAATTATCAGATTTCTCAGCGAAATGAAAGTTTTACCTATTGATCCAGTTTTCTCAAATTGGGTTAATTTTATAAATGGTTCCACAAATTCAAAAAGCTTTAAGACCATCTATTTTTCTTTTTGAAATTCAAAAGTTGAAGATTTAAAAAAAAATCGATTTTGTTTTTCAGTTTCCTTGCGTTCATTACTTTTTTCCAACTTCCACTTGGCTATGTTTGAACTGTTTCAGTTTTAAATTGTTTCATAATAACAAATTTGAAATAGGAAAATGTATTTCAGCGAAAACGAAAGCGTAACTGGAAAAGAGTGGAATATTCCGTGTTCTGTTGTCCTTTAATAACTCACATAGTTTTTCTATACATTGAATATTGATTTGTACTGTTCGGTATGTGTGGTGATTGTGTGTGTTGATGTGTTAGGTCGAAGCAGTGTGAGAATGAGCAGTGCAATAGCAAGTACCCCATCTGTGTCCTGTCTGGCAGACCCATCCTCAACTGGTCCTTCTGGGTGTGTCCCTCCTGCAAACACAAGGTACATACATACACGCTACCCTACACTACATTACACTATACTACATTATACTACACTACATTATACTACACTACATCACACTACATTATACTACACTACATTATACTACACTACATTATACTACACTACATTGTACTACACTACATTATTACACTACATTATACTACATTACACTACACTACATCACACTACATTATACTACACTACATTATACTACACTACATTATACTACATTACACTATTACACTACATTATACTACATTACACTACACTACATCACACTACATTATACTACTCTACATTATACTACACTACATTATACTACATTACACTATTACACTACATTATACTACATTACACTACACTACATCACACTACATTATACTACACTACATTATACTACACTACATTATACTACATTACACTATTACACTAAATTATACTACATTACACTACACTACATCACACTACATTATACTACACTACATTATACTACACTACATTATACTACACTACATTATACTACACTACATTATACTACACTACATTATACTACACTACATTATACTACACTACTTTATACTACATTACACTACACTACATCACACTACATTACACTACTTAAACACAAAAATATTGTTTTCATCGGTAGAATTCCAAATGCGCGAAGGACTCAATGCACGAAAATGTTGTCAGCCAATCAGAATACAGTATTAAAAAAATCGAAATAAGTAAGCGATGAAATCAGTCAGTTTTGAGCAGTTTCAAGAGCGACGATTGGTCAGTTTTCCATCACACCACTCGCATTTATATGAAGTTATCAAAATGTTTTAATAAACGGTCGTTATGAGTAATTTTTTTTCTGTTTTGATTAATTTCAACCTATCGGATTGGAGCTTTATGATCTAAATTTGTGATACCAGTTGAATCAAATTTGGTTTGTATAAAAGATTTGGATTGTATAAATTTGGATCTTTATATGAGTGCAGAAACCTGTGATCGAAGTCTTATTTGGCGTCTATCGTTATTGATATCCTTGATGTTTTGTTTTGTTTCCAGGCTGACTCTAGGTTGATTCCAACCACATCCAACCTGGAGGGAGGAGGGGTCCATTGGTGTCCCTTGTGTCACATGGAACCTATGACCAATGCGCAACAGACCACGGCCAGATAAAAGTCAAAAAGATCAGAAACATGAATAGAAAGAAGAAAGGAAAAATGTTAACTTGTTGTCAAATGTGACTCTAATATGACGTGAGTTTGGACGATGATTTCTAATTGAGTCGACCCCTTTGTCACAACAGACATTAGACCTTAAACTCCGAGTCGTTTTCGTTTTTGAGTGCTCAGTCCAAGTGTCCCTAATACATCTTGAATTGGTAGAAATAGGTTAATTGCTTTTGTAGAGGCCTACTATTCATATCTATCTCCAGGAATTTGAAAAAAAGAGAAGTAAATAGAAAGAAAACTATGGAATTTAACTTTTTCCCGTTTAACCATTTTCCCGTTTATTATTTTCCACATCTTGGAATCGTAATTGAAATTTACTTTCTTTTTGGCAGAAATAGTTCCGTAATTTAAAGCTCGAGGGGTGTCATTTTAATGAGATAAATGTCAAAATTGGAAAATCATGTTATAAATGTCGAAGTTTGTGAAAACATCATTTAACTAAATTTGTTTTGATGTGTAAAAATTGTAAATATGTCAATAAAAAGTCCGAAAATGTATTTTAATGTGATTTTTGTCAATACTTTTCGTGAAGTGCGAGTTTTGATGCTTAATTTCAAGTTAAAGATCCCTTTTGTTTTGGAAAATAGCAATTGATGCATATTCTGAATTTAGCATTCGTTCAAGTTATGTTCAAATGTAGCTCTTTTATTTCGAACTATCGAAAGAGGTGAAAAAGCGGAATATTGTAATCAAAAGGGAAAATATGACCGATTGATTTCTAATGCCTTTCGGTGGTACAGTGCTGATTGAAATTATCCGGGCAAAACGAACAAAAATTGAAATTTCAAACGCTTTTTTCTCAAATTGGGTTAAGCTAGAACAACAAGGGAAAACACAAAAAGTTGCTTAGAATTTCACCAAAATTAATATGGTGCAATTTTTATGCAGAAATTTTCGATCAAAAATTTGATCCCAAAGATGGGTGACTTTGGCTGTTTTTTGAATTAGAAATTGCGCTGAAACTTCTGATTTTTTGAATTAGAAATTGCGCTGAAACTTCTGATTTTTTGAATTAGAAATTGCGCTGAAACTTCTAAGTTAATTGATGAGAAAGGTATATGAAAGAAGCATCTCAAACAAACCAACAAATAGAAAAAAAAATTTCCAGGAATCTGTATAAGAGAATATATTTCTGCTTGATGGCCGAAATTTTAGATGTTTTGGACAAGTTTTTGGGGATTTAACCACTACAACATTGTTGGGCTGAGTAAGAAGCTCCTTACTCGTGCTCCTAATGTGGAAGTTCCCTGCATAATTCTTGGTTAACTAAAAAAAGTCAAAATGACTCATTTTTGATGTAAAATTTTAGTTCTGAATCTCGCGAAAGAAATTACTTCCTGATAATTCTGATGAAATTCTAAGCAATTTTTGTTCTCACTTTTGGTCTAATGTTAACCCTACTTGAGAAAAACGCAGTTGAAGTTTCAAATTTTGTTTCTTTTGCCCGTAGAATTTAGATCAGCACTACTGCTAGATCCATTTAAAATCATATTGCGGCTATAAGGTTGTCTCAGTGTCTAGAAAAACCGATTGGAAATTTTTGAGTTTTAGTCAAATTCGAGCGAGTAAAGCGATTGGAGTGAGTGAAGCGATTCGTTATCATTTTTTTATTACACTTTCAAGCTTCAGATAGTTTCAATTGGTGTTTTTAAGAGAAATGAACGCAGTGAATGCTAATATTTAGGGTTTTGTGATTTTTTTGTTTTTTTTTCAGGAAAAAGTTTCTAAGTTTGTTCACGCTAAAATTTGAGGTTTCGCGGCTCGTTTTTTTGGTTTCTTTTAAAGTTCAATGCATTTCCATTCTTAAAAGGAAGGCAAACTCCGCTATCGAACAGCAAACGTGTAAAGATCTTGAAAAACGTGATTGACTTCTAGTTTCGAAAGAGGAATTTAATTATTAGATTTCCCAGCGATATAAAATTTCTACGCTTTAATTCAGTTGTCTCAAATTGGTTTATTTTCTTGAGAAAAGGGTCAAAAACAAATTTTTCTAGAAATTCAAAGCGGTTCAAGGCCATATATTTTTTTTCTTCGAAAGTCGAAGGCTGAGATTTTTTCAAAAAATAAGTCAGTTTTTTTTTTCCGTTTCTTTGCGTTCATTATTATTTTCCAACTGTCAGTTGGCTATGTTTCACCACCTCAAATTTAATCGCTTCAAATCTTCCCGAGGGTTAGAGTTGTATTGCAAATAATTTGATTTATTTCAAGTCGAAATGATAGAAAAGAGCTTCAACAATTTGTTCAAATTCATAAATAACATTTTGCTTTCATGTCCTCCATTATTTTATTTCACCCGATTGGTATATGGATTAGTTATGGCCGCTTTGCTTATTGTTCCAATTTCAGTTTTCATTTCGGGATTTAAGCAGACGTTCTTTGGACTGAACCCAAAAAGGTCTCGACCGAAGACGAAGTACGACTTGGATTCGAACTCGGGAATTGAGGAGTCGGGATTCGTGACTTCGGACGGAGTTGATATACACTTTGTTTCAAAGGGAAACCCGAACGGCGAAGTCATTTTGTTCCTTCACGGGTTCCCAGAATGCTGGTATTCCTGGAAACACCAAATCGATTTCTTCTCCGATAAAGGTTACCGAGTTGTTGCTATGAGTCTTCGTGGATACGCTGAGAGCGGAAAACCAAAAGGAGTCGAAAGTTACGAGCAAACCAAACTAGCAAACGATGTCAAAGAGCTAATCGAGTATTTGAGATGCGGGAAAGTGATTCTTGTCGGCCATGATTGGGGTGGTGTTATATCGTGGACATTTTCTGCTATGCATTCTGAATTTATAACAAAACTGATCATTCTAAATGCGCCGATTTCGAAAATTTACCTGAAGTTACAGAAAGAAAATATCAAACAGTTTCTAGGATCTTTTTATATATACTTCTTCCGTGTGCCTTATTTACCAGAATTAGCTTTGAAGTTGGGCGATTATGCGTTTCTCGAAATGTGTTGTTTCGAACTATTGCAAAAGGGAAAAATCACCCGAAATGCAGTTGATTTGGTGAAATATTATGCCGCTCAGGACAATGCTTTGACTGCTATGATTAATTATTACCGAGCAATGGTTTCAAAAGGAAATCTACAATTGCTGAAAAAACTTCCTAAAATTACGGTTCCAACTTTAGTGATTTGGGGCGAAAAAGACGCGGCGTTGGTTGTTGAGAACTTGAAAGGTATGAACACCTTTGTAGATGACCTTCAGGTGTCTAGACTACCTGGGGTGAGTCATTGGGTTCAACAGGAGGACCCAGAAACTGTCAATCAAGAGATAATCGGCTTCATATCATAACAAACTTGAACTTGAACACCCTGATAAAATCATAAACTTCAAAATCTTTCCACTTTCCTAGGGTATAAATATAATGAAACTAATTATATGGATAAATAATTCAGGTCCTTGAACTCGGAAGGTTAAAAGGCCAAATTTAAAGATCGCAGTCGGTCAATTTAATAGAGCTGAATTGGATCCAGGACCGGAAAACGATATATTACGATTCCGTTATGGTCCGAAAAAAAAATTGCAATCAGCCCAACTGATTATGAAGTTGAAAGGTTGCAATATTTCCGCAAACAGTAATGCGAGCAGGGATGATATGAAAATATGAACTCTTAATTTGAATCTTGCGTGAAAACTAGTTTGTTTTGTTCGTTTTCACTCGAAAACAAATCTTTTCGATGTGTTTTATTTCAGAAAATTTTCGACATACGCGGCTAAAAAGTAGAACTAATCGTTCCGAATTAGAAGAAATTAACCGAATATTTCCGCTCTGGGTAGTTTTTGTCTCTAAATAAGTTTCGACCTTTTTAATTAGCAGTTTTGGACGGATTTTTAAATAAAAATAGTACTAATAATTGTTTCTGCGACTCGCAGAGGATCTATGAAATGGAATCCAGCCTGTCTAAGGATAGTCCGTTTACATTTCTCCCCACATTCTAGTCAGTTATTTTGTTGAGCATTGCTCTTGGTTGCGACTCATGGCAGTTTCTTGCTTGAAGAACTTTCGCGTGGTAACGCTAGTGCATCCGTACTTTGTCAGGCTGGGGTAAACCTGAAGCGAGGGGTCAAATGCGAGCTCGCCCTCATACACTATCATTGCCATGACAGGGTATCGATTAAATGACCTGACATTCTCGAAGTGAACGTCTCTCTCTCTCTCTCTCTCTCTCTCTCTCTCTCTCCCTCCCTCTCTCTCTCTCTCTCTCCGTTACGTCTCATTCGAGACCTGGATGCCTCCTCCGGAACTAGTCAGGTCCCCGAGGCCCCACTATTATGTCCTCCATTAGACTTATCAGTGGACAGCCTCTGGAGAGCCTGATAGAATTCCTGGGCCAGGATTTCGATCTGTGCCTTGGTCACTAACGCCTGCAATTTTCCCCAGTAGTCGGCTATTCTGCTTAGGTTGAAGGTGGAGGTCTTACCACTATGCTAAGTGCCTCGTCCTTCTTACACAGTCTAAAAGGTATTGATGCTCAGTGCTAAAAATCAAAAAGACATTCCAAATACGGTGATTTGTTTTAAAGTTTTTGGGGATTTAGCGACTATTTTGGTAAATACGATTCAAATCGGGACAATTGGGCAAATTCAAACAAAACGTTATCTATTTCGAACCTACAGAAATTCGGCAATTGTTCTCGAGCTTGAGTGGAAAATCCGCATGAAACTAATTTGTTAAGAAAACTTTGATGTGGAACAGAAATCACTGTTTTACTAACGTCAACAAAAACAACTTGAGTATAATTGTTTGCTTGAAGACTCGATACAGGTTCCGTAAATGGTATGAGGTTAGTTGCCTCTGTTGGATCTCCTTTTTTGTATTTTGAAGTTATGTAGGCCTCCTTGAGAAAACCGGGAAACAAACTTTCCCTAATGCAATTGTTTTGATAAACCATTGCATTAAGGAAAATTTGTTTCACGATTTTCTCAAAGAAGCTTGCTTACATAACTTCAATATACAAAAAGGGAGATCCAATAGAGGCAGCTAACCGCATACCATTTACGGAAACTGTATCAAATCTTCAAGAAAACAATTATACCCAAGTTGTTTTTGTTGACGTTGTTAAAGCAGTGATTTCTGTTCCACATCAAAGTTTTCTCAACAAATTAGGTCGAGATAGGCAGTTTTCAAGATTTAAAAAAAAAATTTCTGGAAAACTAAATTTTAAAAATTTTCTCATTTTTTTTTTTGAAATTCTCACCCTGTAGTTGAGTGCTGTCAGGGGTGACCAATCTTGCCTCCAATTCTCATTTCTCAAATCCTTGTAATTTTCGAGATATGACGTTTTTTTTGATTTTTTCAAAAAATTTTCAAAAACTTCGATTTTTACAAATTCCAAAACGTTGAAGATCTCAAACCTGTTGCTGGATATTGTGATGATACTGTCAGGGGTTGCAAGTACTGCCTCTGATTATGGCTGCTCAAATCCTTGTTTTTGTTGAGATATGTCATTTTGTTGGATTTTTCAAATTTTTAAAAAAAAAATTCGATATAAAAAATTTCACAAATTTGAATTTACCATCTCTGTAGTGAGGCTCGTCAGGGTACTCTCAGAATTTGCCAATTTCGCCGCCAAATATGCTCGCTCAATTCTTGTAGTTTCCGAGATATGGCGTTTTTTATGGTTTTCTCCGAAATTTTCAAAAAAAGCCTAAATGTTAAAAAGTTCCAAAATTTGAAGAGATCAATCCTGTTATTGGAATCTGTAAGGGTACTCACAGGGGGTTGCAAATCGTGTCTCTGAACATGGCTGCTCAAATTTTTGCAGTTATCGAGATATGACGTTTTTTATGGTTATCTCCGAAAGTTTCAAAAAAAGCTTTAATGTTAAAAAGTTCCAAAAGTTTGAAGATATCAATCCTGTTATTGGAATTGAGAGTATTCTCAGGGGGTTGCAAATCTTGTTTCTAAATATGGCTGCTCAATTTTTGTAGTTTTCGAGATAAGACGTTTTTTTGGGGATTTTTTCAAAACTTTTCAGAAAACTTAGGTATAAAAAATTTCAAAAAACTTGAAATTATCAACTCAGTAGTGAGGCTCTGTCAGGGTACTCTCGGTTTCAAATTTTGCCTCCAAATAGGACTGCTCAAAACCTTGTAGTTTTCCAGATATGACATATTGGGTTCGTCAGAGTAATTTTTGGGTTTGCAAATTCCGCCTCCAATTAAGAATGCCTAAATCATTTTTTAAGAGATACGCCGATTTTTTGAAACTTTCAGAAAGCTCAAATTACAAAATAATTCGTTAAAGTGAAATTCTCAACTTGTAGTTGTGTACTTTTAGAGATTGCAAATATTGCCATCAAAAAAAGACTGCTCAAATTTTAATTGTTTTCGAGACATGAATATCTTTTTTAGAAAACTTAAGGTGAAATTTCTCAAAATTTGACTTTCCGAACGTTGTAGTTGGGTACTAAAAGAGTACTCTCAGGAGTTGCAAATCTTGCGTCCAAATGCGACTCCTCAATTGCTTTCAGCTTCCCAGATGTGACGTTTCTGAATTCATTATAAAGTTAGATTTAATAAATGTAACAAATTTTAATGGTTTTTAAAAATTTGAATTAAAAAACGATTGAAAAACTTTACAAAGTTTGAAGTAACTCTGAGGAGTTGCAAATCTTGCGTCCAAACGCGCCTGCTCAATTGCTTTCAGTTTCGCAGATGTGACGTTTTTTAGTTCTTTTTAAATTTTTCGAGAGTACATTGAGAATCACGTTCAACTTGTTCAAATTGCGTATGATACCTTTTTTTTGTTCGGAATTAAAATTTTGCTTAGTTAGAAAAAATGTTCACAGATATCGTAATTTAGAAAAAATTGAAATATTTTCTACAGAAATATTCAAAGCAAAAATTTTTATCTGGAAAATTTTCATCTGTTTATTGAAAACAAGAAAAAAATTAAGCAATACCAGATTGACGGTGAACAATAGATCAAAAAAGTAAGTACTGGACACGTTTATGGAAACTAATCATCAGAGTTTTCAATTGATAAAATATGTACCAAAAATTGGAATGGTTTTTCTTTAAAAAATGCGAATGATCAAAAAGAAAAAAAATAAATACTCAAACTTAAACTTCAAAAAAAACTTTTATTAAATTTGAATGAGCAAGTACCTTTAAACAAAGGTTTGGGCGTTTTAAATCATATACGTATATAAAATGCTCACATTTACCTTATAATCACCTATACTAAAAATGTTAAGAAGCAAGTCTGGATTGAGTTGAACTTACTCGTTGAATTTAAGAAATTTATCATATAGCTTGGACTCTTCAATCTCTGGGTATGTAAAAAAATTAACATTATTAACAAAAAAAACAATTGGTGCGCATTATAGTTCTTGCTAATAAATGGTTGAAACTTTCCCATTTTTATTGAATAACTTCAAGTTATATCTTGTCAATGAACCTTTAACTTTGCGGTGACTTCTGGATGTGGATGGAATTACAATTACAAACATAACAAAAATGTTTTTTTTTTCATGACCTAATTCGCAATTTGGATTAAAAAAGGATGCGAAAGGTAATTGTCTTACAGACTCTTGTATACATCCTGAAAATATCTGACCGTTATCTTTTTTTAACTTTTAAGGATCGAGCTGTAAATTGAGAATTTCAATTTAAAATAATATGAGATAAATCCAATCATGGAGTAATATCTTTTGATATTTCGAGTCATGACTGATTTGTTTCTACAAGATAGATACTTCATGATCACGTACCTTTTTTTTGAATTACCTAAAATAGTTTGACATAAGCTTATAAACCAGTTTTCAGTTTCTTTCTCTTATTTGAGCGTGGTCAAAAACCTTAAGTTTTTCTAGTTGTCTCAATTTTTGGTTTCTGAGGCATCAAATAAAAATCATGTTTTTCCTTTTTTGAGTACTTATTTAAAAACATGATTATTCCGCGCATTTCAAAATTATTTTAATGTTAACAAATTTACATTAAAATAATGTATATAATGTTAACAAATGTTAGAAAACTTGCTTATCAAATCTTCATTACTGATTAAATGAAAGAAAACCTCCATTTTTTAATCAATTTTTCTCACAAGATGCGGTTTTTTAGAAAAAAATCAACAAAAACATAAATAATGTATTTTTTTGTTTCTCTTTTGTTAAGCTTTGTTGTTACCGCGTGAATGTAACAGCTTGATTTTAATAACAAAAAAATGAACAAATCAACATATGTGCTAATGTATTACGTCAAATCATATTCAATATTTTGTTTCTGCTATTTGAAGTTTTGTTCAATACCACGTGAAAGTAGCAGCTTGAAAGTTTTCCTTGAGACCAAGTCTCATTTTTATAACCTTCAATCTAGACGAAATCCAGTCTTAATGGCTGCGCGGATTACATTAGT